AAACTACTCAGTCTGAATATATAGGAACATAGTAGCTAAAAACAAAATACCATTTTGAGTAAAAGAAACTACTACTGAGTGGGTTTACGTTCAAAATGTACCAACATCAAATCTGTTTCAAAGACAGTGGGGTAAAAAAGAAATGGAAAAGTATAATTTTCCCCTTCTGCACTTTTTGATTCGATTAATTAGGTAATTTTTTTCCTACACTTTTTTTCAGCTTTCACTTTAATCCTAGCTGTTGAGGATAAATCCATATCTGACATGTGGGAGGCTTTTAAAGGCTAGTTCAGAGTTCAGGTCCAGCATGTTCCTGTGAGGATGAAAGGCAAGGATGGCAAGATTCAGGACCCTTGGATGATGAGAGATATTGAAAACTTAGTCAAAGAAAAAGGAAGCATATTAAGGTTTAGGAAACTGAAAGGCCCTTAACGAATATAAAGGAAGCAAAAAAAAAACAGACAGGAAATCAGGAGGACTAAAAGGAGCAATGAAATATTCTTGCCAAGTAGGATTAAGGAGATGCCTAAGGCATCTTATATGTGTATTAGGAGGAAGAGACTAGCTAGGAAGGAGTAGATCCAGTTAAGGACAGAAGAAAGAATTTGTGTGGTGCCAGAGAGGGTGGGCGAGGTCCTTAATGAGTACTTTGCATCAGGATTCAAGGAGGACATGGTGGATGGTAAGATAGGGAGGGGTATGTTGATATTAAGAAAGGGTTTTTGGGTGTCTTGAAAGACATCAAAGGTAGATAACTCCCTGGCCCTGGCCGGATCCATCCCATGACACTGAAGGAGGCAAGGGAAGATACTGCTGAGACCTTGACAGAGATATTTGTATCCTCTTTAGGCACAGATGAAGTCCCAGAAGACTAGAGAATAGCCAATGTTGTTCCATAGTTTAAGAAGGGCAACACGGATAATCGAGGAAATTATAGGTTGGTGAGCCTTACATCAATGGCAAGGAAATTATTGGAGAAGATTTTTACAGACAAGATTTACTTGCATTTGAAGAATAGGAATAGTCAGCATAGTATTATGTAGGGGAGGTCTTGTCACTCAAACTTGATTGAGTTTTTCTGAAGAAGAGTCAAAGATGATTGATGAGGGTAGGGCAGTGGGATGTTGTCTATATGGGCTTTACTAAAACATTTGACAAGGTCCCTCATGGTAGGCTCGTCCAGAAGACTAAGTCACATGGGATCCAAAGTGAGTTGGCAAGTTGGATACAAAATTTATTTGGTTATTACAAAGAAGTCGTTGTGGAGGGGTGTTTTTCTGACTGGTGGTCTATGACTAGTGTTGCTCCACAAGGAGGAGTGCTGGGATTTCTGTTGTTTGTAGTATGTATATATGATTTATATGAAAATGTATGTAGTCTGATTAGCAAGTTCGCAGACAACACAATAATTGGTGGAGTTGTGGATAGTGAGGTGGTTTAGTCGAAGGATACAGCAAGATATAGACCAGTTGGAAAATTTGGCAGAGAAATGGCAGACGAGTTTAATCCAGACAAGTGTGAGGTGATGCATTTTGAGAAGTCATATGCAAGAGGAAAGTATATCGTAAATGGCAGAACCCTTAGGAGTATTGATTATACAGAGGGTTCTTGGGGTCCAAGTTCCCCAAAAATGGCAACACAAGTGGATAATGTGGTAAAAAATGGCGTATGGCATGCTTGCCTTCATTGGTCAAGACATCAAGTATAAAAGTTGGCAAGTCATGTTGCAATTGTATATGACTGAGGTCGTTGACTTGCTCGCCGAGCTGGCTTGTTTTTGTTCAGATGTTTCATCACCACACTAGGTGACATCATCAGCGAGGCCTCCGATGAAGCGATGTTATTCTACTCTGCTTGGAATTTGTAGTGTCCGGTCCATTGCAGTGAGTAGTGTCATTTCCGGTTTTGATCTGTATAGATTTGTATATGGGGTTCAATTCTATACGTTTTTTGATAGCATTACGGGTCGAGAACCACGGCTCTAGGAATTTCCGTGCATGTCTATGTTTGGTTTGGGCTACTATGGTTACGTTGTCCCAGTTAAACTGATGGCCTTCATCATCTGAGTGTATTGATATTAAGGAAAGTTTGTGGTGTCATTTTGCTGCTAGCTGACGTTTGTGTTCCGATGGCTAGTTTCCTTCCCGTCTGTTCAATGTAATGTTTGTGGCAGTCGTTGCATGTACTTTGTAAACCACATTGGTTCCGCGTGTTGTGAGAATGGAGTCTTTAATCCTTGTGGAATGTTTGTCATAGAGTGGCTGTGGGCTACCATGATTCCTAGTGGTTTTAGGAGTCTTGTTGTCAATTCCGATATGTTCCTGATGTAGGGCAGTGTGACCAGTGTGTTAGGGTGCACTGTGTCCTCCTGTTGTTGTCCGTTTAGGAGGCACCTGCAGATGAAGTTGCGGGAATATCCGTTCATAGCGAAGATGTTGTACAGGTGCTCTTCCTCTTTCCTGCGTAATTCTGGAGTGTTGCAGTGTGTCGTGGCCCATTTAAATAGCATCCTAATGCAGCTTTGTTTGTGGACGTTGGGGTGGTTGCTTGGAAGTTGAGGATTTGGTCAGTGCGGGTTGCTTTCCTGTATACTGAGGTTTGGAACTCCCCATTGGTCAGATGCTTCACTCTGGCATCCAGAAACGGAAGTTGATTGTTGTTTTCTTCTTCTCTTGTGAATTTAATCCCTGCGAATACATTGTTGGTGTGGTGGTGGGTTTCTTCTAGTTTGTTGCGTTTAATAATGACAAAATGTGTTGTCTACTTACCGGATCCAAGTTTAGGTTGAATGCCAGGGAGGGTAGTGTGTTTTAGTCTTTGCATGACTGCTTCTGCAATGGGTGACCAATCTGTTTAATGTTTGTATTTATTGCTAATTTTTTCCCCCTCAAGAACATAAAAATCAGTGACAACAAGATTATGGTATCCTTTGACGTCACAGCTTTGTTCACATCAATCGACATCCCACAAGCCAAAGAAACAGTGGCCACATTACTAAAGGAAGCAGCAATGCAGACCAGCAGCTCCATCAGCAAGGACAACATACTCAAACTACTAGACGTCTGCCTCACCACACACTTTAGTGGTCAAGTATACAACAAGGTCAATGGTACACCAATGGGGTCACCCACCTCAGGACTCCTTGCAGAAGCAGTCATGCAAAGACTAGAACACAGCACCCTCCCCGGCATTCAACCTAAACTGTGGATCCGGTAAGTAGACGACACATTTGTTATTATTAAATGCAACAAATTAGAAGAGACCCACCACCTCATCAATAATGTATTCGCAGGGATTAACTTCACAAAGGGAAAAAGAAAACAACAATCAACTTCCGTTTCTGGATGTCAGGGTTGAGCATCTGACCAACAGGGAGTTCCAAACCTCAGTATACAGAAAAGCAACCCGCACTGACCAAATCCTCAACTTCCACAGCAACCACCCCAACGTCCACAAACAAAGCTGCATTAGGACACTACTTAAACGGACCACCACTCACTGCAGCACTCCAGAACTATGCAGGAAAGAGGAAGAGCACCTGTACAAAATCTTCACTACGAAAACGGATATTCCTGCAACTTCATCCACAGGTACCTACTAAACAGAACAACAACAGGAGGACACAGTACACCCTAACACACTGGTCACACTGCCCTACATCAAGAACATTTTGGAATCGACAACAAGACATCATGGTAGCCCACAAGCCCACAGCCACTCTATGACAAACACTCAAGGATTAAAGACTCCATTCCCACAACATGCAGAACCAATGTGGTTTACAAAATACTATGCAACGACTGCCGCAAACATTACATTGGACAGTCGGGAAGGAAACTTCCCATCAGAACACACAAACATCAGCTAGCAGCAAAACGACACAACAAACTTTCCTTAGTATCAGTACACTCAGACAATGAAGGCCATCAGTTTAACTGGGGCAAGGTAACCATAGCAGCCCAAGCCAAATATAGACATGCACAGGAATTCCTAGAGCCGTGGTTCTCAACCCGTAATGCTACCAACAAACATATAGAATTGGACCCCATGTACAAACCCATACAGATCAAAACCAGAAATGACACTTCTCACAACAGACCGGACAGTCTAAATTCCAAGCGGAGTAGAACAACATCGCTTCATCGGAGGCCTCACTGAGGATGTTACCTAGCATGGTGATGAAACGTCTGAACGAAAACAAGCCAGCTCAGGGAGCAAGTCAACAAGCTCACTCACAACCTGAGCTACAGATCTCTGCTAAAACTTTAAATTATATAAGACTTTAGATAGGCTACATTTGGAGTACTTTGCATAGACCTGGTCCCCTCACTACATGAAGGATGCTGAGTCTTTGGAAAGAGTGCAAAAGAGGTTTACCAGGATTGTTGCCTGGATTGATATGCATTAGCTATAAAGACGTTTTGGACAGACTTGGATTGTTTTAACCAGAGCTTTAGAGACTGAGGGGCAACCAGACAGAAGTACATAAAACTGTGACAGGCATGGATAGGGGTGGATAGTTGGAGTGTTTTTCCCCCAGAGTGAAAATGTAAATCACTCAGGTGCATAGGTTTCAAGTGACTGGGGGAAAAGGAGATGCAAAAGAACAAAAGTGGTAATGCACAGAAACAGGCTCTTCGGCCCTCCGAGCCTGTGCCGATCATCGTGCCCTAACTAATCTAAAAAACGAACCTTTGGCCCTTATTCAGTCTGTATCCCTCTATTCCCTCCCTACTCACGTAACCATCCAGGTGCCTCTTAAATGTCACCAATGTGCCCACTTCAACCACCTCTTCTGGCAGTGCATTCCAGGCTTTATGTGAAAAACTTCCCTTGCACATCTCCCTTAAACTTTTGCCTTCTCACCTTGAACCTATGCCCCCACCCTTGTAATTGAAACTTCAACCCTGGGATAAGCCTCTGACTATCCCCTCTATCAATGCCTCAATTTTGTAGACCTCTATCAGGTCTCCTTTCCACTGAAAACAATCCTAGTCTTTTAAACCTTTCCTCACAGCCAATGCCCTCAAGACCAGGCAACATCAAATATGAAGCAGGATAATTTTTTTAAAATAATGCATTTTATTTTTAATTGGCATACTCATCTATGATCTTAATTGTTTGAATGAAAATGTACCTTTTCTAGAAACATTCAACCAAAAGATGATGAGGAAGATTATGCGTTTTCTTTCTGTTCACTCACCCACTATTACTCTCTACAACCCAAATCACAGATTGTATAAGCTGGCTGAGGTGGAGTTCCTCACCTTCACAGGTCTCTGGAGAGCACAAATGCAAATAGTTCCATAAAAAAAAAGCCCATTTCTGTTGACCAGAGTTTATGCTCTTTACGGTCTTCAAATTTAGAATGTTTCACAGGCTTTTGTTTCCAGTGAACAGTACCTAAAAAGAACTATTAGAGGATTTAGCACTGGCTTGGTTCAAAGCAGCTAGCACCACAGTTGCACATGTTTAAGTACAGCTTGCTTAACCAGTGTTCCGGTATCACCTTGGGATGAGTGTTAGATGCATAAACTCAACCGCAAAGGCATATCTGCTGCAATATTCATGGTTAGGTTAAATTAGACATCTTACTAACTTGCAAAAATACTGGTGATTTTAATACTGTAGAACATTTTTATAATAAAATGAAAATGAAGATAAATGGTAGGTAATGACAAGAGCTCCTCATTTATCAAAATGTTTTATGATTCATCAAGAAAGTTTTGGTCAATGTTGATTTATATGCTCTCTGAAATTACCTATTTAAGTAATTTTAGTTGTTTTTTTGGATACAAAACACAAATCAGAACTCCAAATGTTTTCCTTCTGTTAATTCTCTGTCCAAGTGACAACTGTGTCTATCTGATAATGGCTGTGCTTGACTTGTAGGTTGCGATGAAAACTTTCAAACCATTCTTAAATTCCAGTGATCCCTCCTTTTGCATCAAGTTGTTTATCCAAAATGATCCACATCACCTCTCTAGCATGACCACTAACACCTAGTCAACTTTGCTTGATGATTCTCTCCACATTATATGCAGATCTTAAACATAATTGAATCATTTCTTTCTAGGAAAATTTAGCTCAGTTTGTTCCCAATTTTCTGTTTATCTTTTGAAATAACAGTTAGATCTATGTCAAGGTTTTGAACTATTGCACATTACTAATTTCCTTTCAACTACTGCAATTTTTTAGGGATCTCACAAATGCAAGTTTATCACTTGACGATATTCATTAATTTTCCAATGTTCATCCCCAGCTATTTTTGTTATTTGAAGTTTTACAACTTAAAGTGCATTTAATTGCACAAATATTTAATTGCTCCCATTGACAATTAAATGAATGCACTTGCCTTCCTCCAGTTGCCAAGTCTTAATTCTGCTCCAAAATGATCAATTCAAAGTAGAGTCTGACACAACTATTGCTATTAAGGTGGCAGGGCAACACAATCCATCCTTGTTCCATCTCAAGCAGCTCTAAACGCTCACTGTTCTAACTGATCTTGAACAATATCTTGATTAAAATTTGTAAAAACAATCAACTAATTGCATAGGAAGATATATTAATGACAGCATCTCAGATCTCTGGACAACTAAGTTAAAATTTTAAGGGAATGCCTTCTCATTAATAGAAACCAGTTTTTAAACACTTTAACATTAATACCTCAATTTTCAAAAATGATATGTAAAAAGGTATATGAATGTGTGTGTGTGTGTGTGTGTGTGTATACTCAAAGGTTTAGAACACTGAAAATTTAAGGTTACAAGCAGCTCTGTGAATACCTTAGAAATAAATTCAATGTCTGTTAAAAATATTCATTCCAATTAGAAAACAATGGCTACGATTATGAAGAGTTTATGCAGCATAGTGATCATAAACTTCAGATTTACACTGAAACCAAATGTATGTTTCTTTCTCTATTTCCCGTTACCTGGTCTCCAGGCAACAGTGCAGGAAGACGATAGGTGAGGTCACATGTTTGAAAGTTCAAATCACAATCAAGAAGTGGCACAGTATTGGAGAAAGGATCACAATCCTCATTGTCACCAGCGATATCATCACCATCACAACACAGTATCTGGACAGACATCAATGGGACATCACCGTTGCTCCTCCGTTCATCATGATCCAGTATAATAGAATCAATACCATTACTGAAATGTTTGCTATCAAATGCATCAGAAGTGAAACTAACTGGGTTAGAAACGGGAACGTATAAATTAGTCTGTGGGGCGTGCTCCAGTCTGTGATGAGCACAGTCAGATTCCTGACTTTGTAAGTCAGTAACACCAATAGTTGAAGCAGTAAAGCAATTTGCTTTCCGATAGCCTTCTGCAATAGGTACCTGGTGCTCAGTATCACCAGATGTCTCAGCTTTGTCAAACATTACTCCATCAGGAATCCATCGTCTGTCTGTGTAATTACAGCATTCATTTTCCTCATCGCTCTCGTCTGGGTCGTCAACATTATCCAAAAGGTTGGCTTCTTTCAAAAGATTACTTTCAAGAGCAATATTTTGTTCACATATTTCTGTCTCACTTTTTTCAAAGCAAGTAGCAATTGACAGCTCACATACATCTGGTTGAGCATCTGCCATCTTTTGCGTATAAGTTGTGGCCCTTGTGAAATCCTAGTAAAAGCAAAACTAGTTTAGTGATAAAGAAAAGGATGCTTTGGATTTATAAAACCTGTAGGAAAATGAAATATAGAATTATCATATAACTTTACCTGTCTCGGGTCAACAAGTAAATAATAATTGAGCATTGACATTTTTTGAGGATTAGAAGACGAGGTAGAGAAAAAATATACAAAAGGTGTTTAGGCAGAAACAGTCAATCACACGGTGCAAATTAGAACAATGAAGAAGCTGTATCAAACCACTTGTCCTGAGAAGAATCTGCATATTCTGTATACATCAGTTCAGATATGTCTTTATTTAAATTCTGGGAATGACCAGCGAAAGTGATCAAAAATATTACAGAAAACAGCATTTGTACAAAGAAGAAAAGCAGGCTGTGAAATTAATAATTATAGATGAATTGAACAATGTGCTCAGATTAAAAAATTAAATCTTGAAAGACAAAAGTAATTAACAGAAGTACAAAAAGGTGTGTTAATAAAATGAAAGAGGAAATGAGAAAAGGATAGGGAAGGCATTGGGGAAAAAGGGAAATATAAAAGATTAAAGAAAAAAAACAGAAAATGAACTGTGCTAACATATCTTGAGGGAAGTTATTCCTTTAACATTAGACAAAACATTAGCTTATAGACACCAACATTGTCAAATTTCTGAAAAATCAAAATAAGCCCCAAGCTTCTAAAATATTCAACCAAGAGGCAAAAGCGGGGGAGGAACTTAAATAACCAGGAGTACCAAAGAATGGCTAGGAAAAATGACTATGGAACTAAAAGCTAACAGGTGCCATAGACCTGCAACCAGTATTAAAAGAAGTGGCCACAGAGGTAATGGTTAGATCTGTTTGCAAACTTCGAAAACCCCTTGATTCTAGGAAGAACACATTGGATTGGAAAGTTGCAAATCTAACACCTCTGTTCAGAGAGGGAGGCAGAAAGCAGGAAATTATAGGTCAAATGGCCTAATATCTACCATTTGGTAAATGCTGAAGTCCATTACTAAGGAGGTAGTAGTGGGATATTTAGAAAAGCAGGTAGAACCATCACGATTTTGTGAAAGGGACAGTGTTTGACAAATTTAATGGGAGGATGTCACAAGCAGGGTAGAAAAAGGAATAACACAGGATATGGTGCATGTGGATTCCCAAAAGACATTTGATAAGGGGTCACCCACGGTAGTGCTGGGGGATGATAAGTGAGCATTTAGATAGGAGGAGCTGACTTACAGGAAATAGTGCATTGGCAAAAGTGGATCATTTTATGCAGGCAAGAGAATTACTAGAGTGTAACAGCAATCGGTGCTAGAGGCTCAACTATTTGTGATCTATATTAATGACTTGGATTGACAAACCGACTGTACTGCAGCAAAATTTGTAGAAAGCAAGTTTTGAGCAGGTTACAAAGTCTGCAAAGGGCCATAGATAAGTTAAATGAGTAGGCAAAAATATGGCAGGAGGAGTATAATCAGTTAATATGTGAAGTAGACCACTTTGGCAGGAAGAATATAAAAACAGAATACTGTTTTAAATGGAGACTGTAGAATGCAGCACAGTTGGATTTGGGTATCCTTGTACATGAATCACGTGGGAACAGAAAATAATTAGAAAGATAAATGGACTGTTGGCCTTTATTGCAAAGGAGATGAAGTACAGAATTCTCATCACAACAGTGCATGGGACTAGTGTGACCATACCTACAGTACTGTTTACTATGTTGGTCTTCTTATTTAAGAAGAGATATACTTCAACTGAAATCAGTTCCAAGAAGTTTCATTGGGTTGATTTCCGAGACAAAGGGGCTGCCTTATGAAGAAAGGTTGAGCAGGGGTGACTCCACACTCTACAAAGTACAGATGAATTTAAGGTGATCTGATTGAAAGATAAAATTCTGAGGGGACTTGAACGGGTAGGTGCTAAGAGAATCCCATGAAAAATTTAGGACTGAGTTAACAAAGAATAAAGGGAATCCCATTTACAGCAGCGGTGACTGGGCCATTGAATATATTCAAAGCTCAGTAAGAGCAGTTAAGGCCACAATCAAATCAGTTATGATTTATTGAATGGTGGAGCAGAGTCAATGGGCTGAATGGCCTATTCCTGCTCCTGTTTATTATAGGATCATAGAATGTGGCCATTCGCCCCATCAAGTCTCAGCAACACAAAGAACAGTATTCCACCTAAATGCAGGCACCCACCCTATTCCCATAACCCCACATTTCTCATGGCTAAACATCTTGCCTGCACATTTAGTAAGGCAATTTAGTAAGGCCATGCCACCCAACATATACATCCTTGGACTGTGGGAAGAAACTGAAGCATCCATTGGAAACCCATGCAGACATGGGGTGAACATGCAAACACCATACAGTCACCCAGAGCAGGAATTGAGCCCAGGTCCTTGGTGCTGAGGCAACAGTGCTAACCACTGAGCCACCTGCCACACTTATGTTATTACAATTTAGTGAAAACAGAGCAAGTGCGCCTATAGGTTCACAGCTATATGAAGCATAATATATGTAATGGAGGTCCAACATCCAAATATACCTTGTACAATTAAGTTCATACCAAACTGATCTAGACGCTTTTGGTGGAAGGTCTATTTGTGGCAAAACAACGACATTATAAATTTCTGCTTAGGTTTTTTGAGTCTAAATTAAATTTCTGGTTAATATAGCATACCAAATCAAGATGCGGGCAAAATAAAAATTAAGTCACATACTTGGTTCTGATAAACTTTTCATCCTTAGAGTACATGACCCTGTGTGCAATACTCTTTTCTTTCCCCATAAAGAGGGTGCTAGTGTTCTTGGGAAGTACACTACTGGGCTACAAAAAAGACTAAAAACAAATTACTCCAGGTGCTGGAGTTCAGAAGTAAAAACAGAAATTGCAAGGGAAATGCAGCTGGCAGCATCTGTGGAGACAAACAAAATTAAACTTAGAAGTCGTATTAGACTCTTTGGAACTGAAAGGAGCTGGAAAATGTTGGTTTTTGTGTATTGACAAGTGGAATGAGGACTGAATAAAACAGATGGTGAGCAGGCTTGAGGAACAGCATTTCATTTTCTGCTTAGGAACATTGCAGCCTTCAGGACTCAAAATTGAGTTCAACAACCTTGGAGCAGGAATTTGGTGCTCCATTTTTATTATACCAACTCTAACTTATGTATTGGTTCCATGGATTTGCTCTCAGCAAAGCCAAAGTATTATTGACTATTCACAACTGCCACTAACACCCATTTTGCATCTAAAACTCACCTCTACTACCATTAACACTCCCACTATCTCTTGCTCTGGGCAGCATCTACTCCACTCATACCTCTGCCATCAACATTAAAACCATCATTTTCCAATTCCAGTTAGTTCCAAAGAAGAGTAAACAACTCAAAATGTAAGCTTTTTCCCTCCACAAATGCCAGATGAGTTTCTCTAAAAATATCTATTTTTAGATTTTTAAAACAAACTGACTGAGCTCCATAAAATTCTGAAAATGATCTAAAGTTGACCCAAACAAATAATTCACACCTGAAAAGGTAGGGACTTGAAAATTCCTATAAAATTATCAATAATTAAAGTTAGAAAATGGATAACTTTTAACTGTTTTACTACAGGTAGACTGCAGCGATTCAAGAAGGCAGCTCAACAGCACCTTCTCCACATTTCCCAGATCAGCTTTCACCCTCTTGCTTTTCAAGAATCTACCAATGCCTGCCTTAAAAGTATTCAAGGACTCTGCTCTTACCACCTTTTGGAGGAAGAAAGTTCCAAAGACTCTCACTGCTCAGAGAAAAATGAAATCTCTATCCCGGTCTTAAATGTGTGACCCTTATTTTGATATCTAACAATGACGAGTCAGAATACAGAAAGGAGATAGAAGGCTTGCTGACGTGTTGCAATAAGAACATCTCTCTCAACATTGGCAAAACTAAAGAGCTGATCATTGACTTCAAAGAGAGAGGAGAACACCCCCTCATCTACATCAATGGAGCGGAGGTTGAGAGGGTGCAGAGCGTCAAGTTCCTAGGAATGACGATAACCAACCACCTGTCCTGGACTTCCCACGTAGATGTGACGGTCAAGAAGGCACAACAATGTCTCTTCTTCCTCAGGCAGCTCAGGAAATTTGGCACATCCATACAGACTCTCAAACTTTTACAGATGCACCATTGAAAGCACACTATCCGGGTGCATAATGGCCTGGTATGGAAACAAATCTGCCAAGGACTGTAAGAAACTCCAGAAAGTTGTGTGCACAGCCCAGACTATCACAGAAGCCAACCTTCCACCCATAGGCTCTATTTATATGGTTCATTGCCAAGGAAAGGCTGCCAAAGACCCATCGCACCCCGGTAATTCTCTCCTGAAACCCTCTTCCGTCAGGCAGAAGATACAGAAGCTTGAACACACACCAGCAGGTTCATGAACAGCTTCTTCCTGGCTGTTATTAGACTGATGAATGGACTGTCTAACTTCAAATAATGTTGATCGGCTCACTGAGCTGGTTCATTGTTGTTCCGCAGACGTTTCATTACCCTACTGGTTAACACCATCAGTGCAGCCTCCGATGAAGCACTGTTGTGTTTTCCCACCTGGTTTTTAAAATCTAGTCTGTTGAGCTGAATTACCCTGCTTCCGGTTTTCCTTCGCAGTGGAGTGTATATGGGGTCGAGTTCCGTGTATTTGTTGATGGCTTTCTTTGTGGAGTACCAGGCTTCTAGGAACTCCCATGCCTGTCTCTGCTTTGCTTCATCAGAGGCTACACTGATGATGTTACCCAGCAGGGTAATGAAACATCTGCAGAATAACGAACCAGCTTGGCGAGCCAACCAACCAAAACACCCACAACCTGAGCTACAAATCTACTCCAAAACCTTAGAAATGTTGATCTTGCCTAGCGCACACCCTGTGCGATGTAATGCTTCCAAGTCTTTTTTTCACCCTATGATCTGTATGTCTGTGCTTACTATGGCTTGCCTGTACTGCTCGTACACAAAGCTTTTCATTGTACTTAGGTACATGTGACAGTAAATAAAATCAAATCAAATACTGCTCATATTTGCCAACAAGAGGAAACTGCCTTTTCACACATACCTTGTCAAGACTCTCATGTTTCAATCACATTACCTCTTGTTCTTTCAAACTCTAGCAGATACAAGCCTCAACTATCCAACCTTAGCTCATACGGAAACTTACCCATTCCAGTATTAGCCTTATAAATCTTCTCTTCCAATATGAAAGCAATTAATACATTTACATCTTTTCTTAAAGAAGGAGACCAATACTATACACAATTCTCCAGATATAGAAGACAGGAGATTACACCAACACACAACCTGGGAAATTTTTTTGAAGGGAAAGTTTGAGATCCAGGAAGCAGGTTTGATCCCTACATCAGGCTGAAAAGCCAGCTGATCAGTTGCTGTTCAGATCCGGCAAGGTGAAGCAGCAAGTATGCTCAGTCCCTGCAGCATCACAATAAAATTCGAACAAGGTCCAAGCTCAAAAATGGCAAAAAGGCAGGCAGTGGATGCTGCCCATTTCACACTTGTTTCTGGTGTAAAGTGTGAAAATAAATGAGCTGCTTGAAAAAGAATGAGCATGTGCCTGCATAGGCAACAATGAGAGATAACCCTCTGGACAAAACTACTTTTTCTATTTCTTGAGTTTCTCATGTTTCTTATTAAAAATGCTGTAGTGTGTATTAAAGACAACACATAGTATTTCAAAATAGTTATACGAACCAAGGCTGACAGCATTTTCACGTTTGAAGAAATGCAGATTACGTTTTTCACAATAGCTGCAGCCACTGAAACTAGAAACAATATTCCCAGTGTAGATCCCATTATCGCAAGATACTTCTCAGTTTGGCGTTCTATAAAAAAAATTAAACATTCATGTCTGCAGTTTTTTATGTAAGAATATCAATGTTATTTATTAAATCAGTTAGAAATTATTTCCAAATAGGCAAAATTGCAACTGCTAAATGACAAAACGCAACTTTATCATAATAAAAGGCTGCTTTGTTGTCTCTGTTGTTTGCTGCTTCTGGATTAAATTTCTAGAATGATGCTAGATATAATTTGCCTTTAACCAAGGAAACAACATTTTTAATGTGCACACTACAGAATGCACAACTCAAAGTTCAGAGGGGTCTGGTGTTGAGCTGGAAAAGCACAGGAGGTCAGTTAGCATCTGTGGAGCAGAGAAGTCAATGTTTCAGGCCTTGGATGCTGTCTGACCTGCTGTGCTTTCCCAGCTCCACATTTATTGACTGTAGCTTGCAACATCTGCAGTCCTTTCTGTCTCCAAATCAAAGGGGTCTGGTGCTCTAGCACATGAATCACAAACAGTTAGCATACAGATACAACTGATTAGGAAGGCAAAGGGAATGTTATTGATTACTGTAAGGGAAACGGGATGTAAAAGTGCAGGTGTTCTGCTACAGTTGTATACAGCATGGTGAAACTCTTTGGTGTTCTTATTTAAGAAAAGATGTAAACATGTTAGATGCAGTTCTTCAAAGGTTCACTTCACTGTTTTCTTGGTGGATGGTGTGGGGGATAACAGGGCAAGGTTAAAAATGTGAAGTGATTCATTTTGGAAGGTTGCATTTGAATGCAGAATACAGGGTTAATGGCAGGCTTCTCGGCAGTGTAGAGGAACAGAGGGGTCTTGGGGTCCACGTCCATAGATCCCTCAATGTTGCTACCCAAGTTGGTAGGGTTGTAAAGGCGGCGAATGGTCTGTTAGCTTTCATTGGCAGGGGAATTGAGTTTAAGAGCCGTGAGGTTATGCTGCAGCTCTATAAAACTCTGGTTAGACCACACTTGGAATATTGTGTTCAGTTCTGGTCACCTCATTATAGGAAAGACGTGGAAGCTTTAGAGAGGGTGCAGAGGAGATTTACCAGGATGCTGCCTGGACTGGAGGGCGGGTCTTATGAGGAAAGGTTGAGGAAGCTAGGGCTTTTTCCATTGGAGCAAAGAAGGATGAGAGGTGACTTGATAGAGGTTTACAAGCTGATAAGAGGCATAGATAGAGTGGATAGTCAGAAACTTTTTTCCCAGGGTGGAAATAACTATTACGAGGGGCATAATTTTAAGGTGATTGGAGGAAGGTATAGGGGAGATGTCAGAGGTAGGTTCTTCACACAGAGTGGTGGTGTGTGGAATGCGCTGCCGGCAGAGGTAGTGGAGTCAGATACTTTAGAGACTTTTAAGCGACTATTGGATAGGCACATGGAGGATAGTAAAACGTAGGGTAGGTTGATTTAAGTAGGATAATAGGTCGGCACAACATCGTGGGCCAAAGGGCCTGTACTGTTTTATGTTACACAGGCTGGGCCTCTATCCACTGAAATTTAGAAGAATGAGAGGTTTTCTTATTGAAATATAAATATCCCAAAGTAAAATGACAGGCTGGATGTTGGAAGGTTGTTTTTCCTTTCAGAAAGTCGAGAATGAGGGAACGCAATAAAAAGAAAAGGGTCCCATGGAGATTAGAGTCATAGATATACACAGCATAGATATCCCTCTAAACGCTTCCTATTCAAATATCCATCCAGATGCCTTTGAAATGTTGTAATTGTACCAGCCTCCACCACTTCCTCTGGCAGCTCATTCCATGTACACACCACCCTCTGATGGAAAAAGTTGCCCCTTAGGTCTCTCAAATCTTTACCCTCTCACCGTAAACCTATGCCCTCTCATTTTGGACTCCTCCATCCTGGGGAATAGACTTTACCTATTTACCCTATCCATCCCCTCGTGATTTTATAAAACTCTATAAAGGTCATCTCTCAGCCTCCGAAGCTCCAGGGAAAATAGCACCAACCTATTCAGGCTCTCCCTCTAGCTCGAACCCTCCAATCCTGAGAATACCGTTGTAAATCTTTTCTGAACCCTTTTAAGTTTCGCAACATCCTTTCTAAAAGGGGGAGACAAGAATTGATTGCAATACTCCAAAAGTGGCCGAAGCAATGTCCTGTAAACCCGCAAATGACCTCCCAACTCCTACACTCAATGCGCTGATCAAAAAAGGTAAGCATACCAAATGCCTTCTTGACTAGGAGATAGCAAGAACTGCAGACGCTGGGAGCCGATACAGTGTGGAGCTGGAGGAACACAGGTCAGGCAGCGGAGGAGCAGGAAAGTCAACATCATTTTGGGTCCAGACCCTTCAGCAAGACTGGTAAGGAGGAAGGGAGCTCAGAAATAAATAGAGGGAGGGGTGTGGGGCTGAGGGAAGGTGATGAAAGGTGGAGGCCGGTAGGGGTTTGTGGAAATTGGTCAATGGGAAGGATGGAGCAGATAGGTGAGAAGGAAGATGGACAGGTTGTGTTAGGGCAAGGAGGCAGGGCTGGACATGGGATGAGGCCAGGGGTGGGGAGATTTTGAAGCTAGTGAATTCTATGTTGAGGCCTTTGGGCTGTAAGCTCCCGAGGCAGAATATAAGATGTTGATCCTCCAATATCACAATAAGGCCATAGGAAAATTGTAGGAGGCCCAGGATGGACATGTCGCCAAGGGACTGGGAAGGGGGGCTGAAATGGCTGACAACAGAAGGTTTGTTGATTGGAGCATACAGAACACAGAAGCTCCGCGAATCAGTCACCGAGTCCGCGCTTCATCTCTCCAATGTAGAGGAGGCAACATCGATCCAGACCACCAGGATGCAGTAGACCTGGTTAGGAGACGTACAGGTGAATCCCTGCTGGATACAGAATGACTGTTTGAAACCTTGGATGGAGGACAGAGGGGAGATGTAGGGGGCAGGTGCAGCACTTCCTGTGGTTGCAGGAAAAGGTGCCGGGTATGGAGGGGACTGTGGAGCGAATGAGGGAGTCGCAGAGACAGCAGTCCCTAGAGAAAGCAGATAGGGGTTGGGAGGGGATTTCTCTTTGGTGGTGGGATCTGATTGCAGGTGGCGGAAATGGCAAACGATGATGCATTGGATTCGGAGGTTGGTGGGGTGGTAACGTGAGAACCAGAGCGAGTCCACCCTTGTTGTTGGTGGGAGGGGATTTGAGGGCAGAAGTGCAGGAAATGTTGGACATGTGGTTGAGAGCATTATGAATCATGGGGGAGGAGAAGTTACTGTCCTTAAAGTAGAAAGACATCTGGGAATGGAATGCTTCATTCCCAGAGCAAATGAGGTGAAGGCAGAGGAATTGGGCGTATAGGATCGCATTTTTGCAAGAGGGTGGGTGGGAGGTGGTGTAGTCAAGGTAGCTACGAGAGTCGGTGGGTTTGAAGTAGATGGCGGTGCTGAGTCGGCTGCCAGAGATGGAGACGGAGAGGTCCAGGAAGGGGAGGGAGGTGTCGGAATGTCGGAAATGGTTCAGGTGAACTTGAGGTCAGGGTGAAAGGTTTTGAAGTGGATGAATTGTTTGAGCTCATGGGAGCACAAGGCAGCACCAATACAGTCGATGTAGCGGAGGAAGAGGTGGGGGATGGTGCCAGTGTAACTGTGGAAGAGAGACTTCCATGTATCCTAAGGGGCAGGCATAACTCAGACCCCTTTGGTTTGTAGGAAGTGGGAGGAGCTAAAGGAAAAGTTGTTGAGGGTGAAGACAAGTTCTATTGAGCAGATGAGTGTTGGTGGAGGGTGACTGGTTGGACCTGCAGGAGAGGAAGAAACGGAGGGCTTTTAGGTCCTCCTCATGGGGAATACAGGTGTAGAGAGAATGAATGTCCATGGTGAAGATGAGGTGGTGGGGACCAGGGAATCGAAAGTCTTGGAGAAGGTGGAGAGCATGGGTAGTGTCCTGAACATAGGTGGGGAGTTCCTGGAACAGAGTCGAGGTAGGTGGAGAGGAGTTCAGTGGGGCAGGAGCAGGCAGAGACAACAGGTCAACTGGAGCAGTCAGGTTTGTGTATTTTAGGAGATAGAAATGGGTGGTGCAGGGTTGGAGAAAGTTCAAGTTGGAGGCTGTGGATGGGAGGTCTCCTGAGCTGGTGAGGTTATTGACAGTCTGGGAGATGATGGTTTGGTGATCGGCGGTGGGGTCATAATCAACGGACGGTAGGAGGTGGTGTCAGACAGTTGGCGTCTGGATCAGTGACGCAGAGGTCAGTACACCATTGTACCACCGATCACGCGTCACCTACCCAGACGCTCCCCCCAAAAACCCCCAATCAGCAGGTTTAACTGTGAGGTTGGGGTTGGAGTGGGAGAAGTGGAGAGATGAAGGCAATGTCGTGACAGCAGTTGGATGAAAAGGTCAAGGGAGGGTAGGAGGCCGGCAGGTGGTGTCCAAGGGAGGTGAGATTTGTCAGAGGCGGGAGAACGGGGCATCGTAGAATCCCTAGTGTGGAAACAGGCCCTTCGGCCCGACAAGTCCACACCAACCCTCAGAGCATCCCACCCAGACCCATCCCCCTATGAACCACTGAATCTACACATCCCTGAACACTGGGCAATTTTAACATGGCTAATCCACCTCGCCTGCACATCTTTGGACTGTGGAAGGAAACCGGAGCATCCGGAGGAAACCCACGCAGACACGGGGAGAATGTGCAAACACCACACAGTCGCCAGAGGGTGGAATCAAACCCGGGTCCCTGGTGCTGTGAGGCAGCAGTGCTAACCACTGAGCCACCGTGCCATCCGTAATTATCCTATCTGCCTGTGACTCCATTTTCAAGGAACTATAAACCTGCATTTCAAGGATTTAGGGACCAAATGGCCTATGCCTGCGCCTAATTTGTATGTTTGTACGGACTGTCAATGGTAACTGAAACAGTGAAGTATTAATGTATACTTTTCACTGTAGGAAATGCTGACCAAGTTTCAGAACATCTGAAAACTAACAAGGTACAGTATATCCAAAAATTCTTCACTTCTAACGAACAGAAAAACATACATGAAAAACTACAAATGATGAACAAAACAAGATTCCCTTTCCAAGTGGTGGACATAAAAATATTGGATTTTTGATGCTTTGATTTTTTTTTCTGGTATTTCGTAATCTACAATGAACGTGGACATTTTTTTCGTATTTCTGAAGAAACTCTCTATCTTTGCTATTTTAACAGTTAATTCTTTTCAATGCTATGACTAATTTTATCCAGACATGAGACAATGTATTATTGGGAGAAGACAAAGACTCAATTTTTTTAATGGAATATTTAATTAAAAACAACTTATGTATTTGAACTTGACCTCAATAAACAAACAGTCAGGTTTCCAAACAAGCTTTCTTTTATTCACTTGTGGAACACTAGCATTGGTCTACCTCCCTAATTGCCCTGAAGATGATGGTGGTGAGCTGCCTTCTTGAACCACTGCAGTCCATGTGCTGTAGGTAGACCCACAATGCCACTGCAGAGGCAATTCCAAGATTTTGACCCAGTGACAGTGAAGGAACAGCAACAAGTTTCCAAGTCAGGGTGGCGTGTGGCTTAGAGGGGGGCTTGCTGGTGGTGGCGTGCCCATGTAACTGCTGCCCCTGTCCTTCTAGATGTAAGTGGTCATAGGTTTGGAAGGTGTTATCTAAGGATCTTTGGCAAATTTCTGCAGTTCATACTGCAGAAGTACACACCACTGCTACTGAGTGTCAGTGGTTGACGGAGTGGATACTTGTGGATGTGGTGCCAGTTAATCTTCTTGAGTGTTGGTGGAGCTTTCCAGGCAAGTGGGGAGTATTCCAACACAACTGACTTATGCCTTGTAGATGATGGACAGGCTTTGGGGAATCAGAAGGCAAGTTTCTCATCACATTATTCCTAGCGACTCACTTGCCCTTGTAACCACTGTAATGCCACCGAATGTCAAAGGGGCAGTGGTTAGATTTTCCCTTTTTGGAGGTTGTTAATGCCTGGCATTTGTGGCATGAACATTTACTTGCCACTTTTCAGCCCAAGCATAGGCACTGTCCAGATCTTGTTGCACTTTTAACATGGACTGTTTCCGTATCAGAGGAGATGTGAATGGTGCTGAATGTTACGAAATCTTTGCTGAACGTCTCCACTTTTGACCTTATCATGGAGGGAACTTGAGGGCATGAGAGACTTGCTGGACACATGGAAGTGTCATATTGCAACTAATTCAGATACATAAACTCTTAATTCTTTGTAGATAAAGTAACCTTCCTGAGTAGACACTCAATGCAAGTCAGATATTGGGAGGAACAAAGAACCAGACAAGCAGAACAGTTTTCAATTACCTAATATCCAAATAACATCCAAATTAACATAACCGCCCAAATGGCAGTGAATCCAGATCAGATTCCTGACACTTGCAGCCTCAAGATGAAGCCTGGTGTGGTCAAGAGGCTAGGTGCCAGCACAGACTAGGTTGAAAAGGATTGATACTCTGAACTTTTTCTTTCCTTATTTTCTAATTTATTCCTATGATTTTGTACTTTTGTACCTAAGTTGGTGTGAAGATCTGTAATGCTGGACTTTTTATTTCTTTATTTTTCTAATTTTTTCCTCAGAATTTGTTCTTAAGAATTTGTACCTATGTACCTTTGTACCCAAGATGGCACTGGAAGTGGCAACTTGCAAACTTTTCACTGTACTCGTGAATACATGCGACAATAAAAAGCTAATTCTAATGCAGAAACATGTTACCACATTCACACAGATTGGAGTAAGACAAACATACCTTCTTGCTCCAAAGTGAAACAAACTGGCTCAGAGAAACTGCTAAATTTCTGCAAACTCTGGTAAACGGACCTGGCAGATATGCAATTGCTATGACCACGCAATTCATGTTTGGCAATTTCCATTGAGTTACCAAGTACACTTTGTTTGATTGGTCTCTGCCAGAAAGAAAGAACATAAATTTCGACATCTTTCGCTTTACTCTTCAAATTCCACATTAAACAGATTAACATCACTACCCAAGACAATGATACATGGGAACAGTAGTAGGCCATTCAGCTATCGAGTTTTCTCCACCATTTAGTGAGACTACGGCTGATTTGATAATCTTTATCTCCATTTTCTTACCTTTTCCCTATAACCCTCGATTCCCTTACTGATTAAAATTGTCTACCTTGAATCAGCCATGATCTCTCTGAATGGTGGAGCATCTGTCATGTTCTTGCCATTCACACTTCTCTACACTTGAGCAAATGTTACGGTAAATCAACTGGTGAATAGTTAATTCATAGAGCTATGCACTACTATCATTTTCAATTGTTCAGTTAGAAATCTAGCATTCTGCATTTTGCCTCAAGAACAATACAAACAACAATGGCGAATGTAGCATCAGACATGTCATTTTCTAGTTGACTAAGCTTCTGAACTTGGCCCATAGTCCAAAATAAAAAACTCAGCACATGCTGGGTATTTCACTGGGAATGGAAGGGATAGATAGCAAAGGAAAAAGTCAAATGTGGCCTATTTTCAGTGGGCTGGCTCAGAACGTTACTGCAAAAAACATGGGAGTCGGAGCTACAATTATTCCTACAGTCAGGAAGTACAATGGGCAGAAATAAATAATAATATGTATTTAATATATTAACGTTAAACATTTCAATCTTGAAGACTGAATTTGAATACAAGAATTCAACATCATTTTTCCATACTATCACCATATCCCTTGAAGTTTTGAATTTGTAGTAATCAGACTTGAACATACTCAATGACTAAGAAATCAAGACTAAAACATCCAAGTCTCAGACGGATTGATGGACTTCAGCTTAAGCTGTTAAAAGAGATGGCTAATGAGGCAGTAGAAGCGTTGGTGTTAGTTTTCCAAAATTTTTTGAATGCTGGAAGAGTCTCATCAGACTAGAAATTAGTAAATATTCAAAGGAGGCAGGCAGAAAACACGAAACTATAGGCCATTTAGCTTGGCATCTGTTGTGGGGATGGTCCTGGAATCAAATCAGTAATGAGGTTACAACTGGACAATAAGAAAAACACAAAGTAATTAGTCAGCACAGTTTTGTGAAAGATAAATCATATTTAATCGGTGACTGGAATTCTTTGAAGGAGTAACTTGCGCTGTGGACAAAGAGGAGCCTAATGAACTGTACGTGGATTTCCAGAAGGCATTTGACAAGATGCCATGCAAAAGATTATGCAAAGCAAACCCTTACTGTAAAGAATAATACAAAGATCTGCAGAAAACATGGAGTATGCACAAGGGTGTTTTTCAGATTGGCAGGATTAATCAATTGGGGTCTTGCAGGAATCTGTGTTGTGGTCTCAACTTTTTACAATTTATATTAGCATCTTAGATGAGATGATCAAAGGAATGGTAGTTAAATATGCAGACAGCACCAAGGTAAGTCAAAGTATATTGTAAAGATGACATCAACTACACATATCCGTCTGTATCTTGTTAAACAAGTGGACAAAAATCTGTCAGGAAGAAAGAAAAAGATGAGTATTACTTAAATGAAGAACTGCAGAATTCTGAGATGCAGTGGGATCTAGGTATTCTAGTGAGTGATTCACAAGTTATCATGCAGGTACAGCAAACGATTAAGGTTAACAGAATGCTATCCTTTATTGTGTTACCATCTAAATACTGTCAGGATTCAAATTTCACAACTGTGAATTTCTGGACTTCAATACATAGCAATGTTGAAAAAGCTAAATTTAATTTACAATAAAAACTAGGAGAACAAAGTGATTTACTACAATAGCTTCATGTTAAGACATCACAAGGTTTAACAAACGAGTACATACCCTGACAGGTTCATTCGCATCCCATATTTCCACTTCATAGGTCAGTTGTTTTAGTAGACATGCATCGAGCACCTTTCTTTTGCATTGTATTAACTTAATTTGGAGATGCACCATTAAAGATTCTTCTCCTACAACTACTTCCATTTGAGGTGGACCTAGTTCCACTTTGAAGAAAAAAGGATTTTGCAATTTATCAAAACAGTTGTATTTTAGCAACACAGCAGTTAATAATTTCTAATTGGACATGAAGGTAGAATTAATATTCCATTCTGGTATTGTTCACCTTAAACTTATCAACATTAACCAATTAAAACCACTTTAAATAAAACAGACTTATGATTCCAGGGATTGTACTGTTGGATTAGTCAGATCTCAACATGAAATCTGATTTGATCACATTCTGGGTATTTTTAAATTAGTATGGCAAACTTCCATTGAATAAGTACACAAACTTTAACATCAAAACCAAAGCTTATTACACAAAATATTTAAAAATTAAAATACAAGCTAATTCCAAAGCAAGAATTTTTTTTTTTTAAAGGAAATGGATCTCCCTTGGCATGGTGATAATCCTGTCAGCAGGATACTACTTAAAGGTATGCTGCAGAAATAACTTCTGACAGCTGAAGTTTTAGGATGAGACCAACGAAACAACTGTTTAGATAGTATATTGATTTAATGCTCTTATTTGTTGGTAATAAACATTGTACCATCATTGAGGGGAATAAATCCATTAGACAGCATCCGAACAACTGGAGTTTCAGGTAAAAGACTTCTCACTCTGGCTTTATACATGGAATAGCAATTCTTAATTGTACATGTAATATCACAGATTTTTTCAGCTAGAAACATGCAGTTGGTAGGTTCGATCCAATAATTCTTGGGCCTGCAAGACGAATAGAAACAAAAATTTGTTAATAGGTTGTTTTTGATTTTTTTCTATGTTACATTATACTCTTAGTTAATACATAGTCTTTAATTATTCACACTTCAGAGTTTAAACATCACAATATTTGTGACAAAATATTTGCCATGGAGTTTTTAAACTTGGTATGAAAGAAGTTTCAGTTAAAGATTCTTGCAGGTTTGAAGATGTGACGTATTTTCAGGAAGATGTAGGATCTGAAACAATCAGTATAGCTTGATTCAAAAGAGAATCAAACAATCAGAAAGAAACCGACAGAAGTGCAAATAAAAAGTTAGCTTATAAGCCAAAGTCATTCTAGTCAGCAGCACCTGAAAAGCGAACAATATCCTGCAAAGATCATTTACCAAAATTCTCACTCCCTTCAACTCAGTTTCTTCACACCATCTTCACATATGGTCTAGGGTGGAAGGGGACAGGCTTGATCTACTTTCCGGCTTAGTTCTTAATCTTAGCTGTTGTTCAAGATGAGAGGAGCAACAGCGATTTTTGACCATGGCATTCCAATGTGCCTTCTCGTGCTGTAGTTTCCTTTAAGTCATAGAAAATAGGAGCAGGAGTATGCCATTTGGCCCATTGAGCCTGCTCTGCAATTCAATATAATCATGGCCTATCAACGAATTCAGTATTCTCTTCCCGCTTTCTCCCCATATCCTTTGGTGCCTTTAGCCAAGAACTATATCTAAGTCCTCCTTGAAAGCATTCATCTTTGGCCTCACTTTCTATCGCAGAGAGTCCCACAGGCTCACCACTCTCTGGGTGAAGGCATTTCTCCTTAGCTCAGTCCTAAATGGTCCATACTGTATATTTAAGACTGAGAGCCCTGATCCTGGACTCCCTGGTAATTGGGAACATATTTCCTTTATTTACTGCGTCTGGCCCTGCTAGAATTTTATAGATTTCTACAAGAGCCTCCCTCATTCTTAACTCTAGGGAATATAGTCTTAGCTAATCTAATTTTTCTTCATACATCTGTCCTGCCATCCCAGGAATCAGTCTGGTAAATCTTTGTTGCACTCTCTCCACACCCAAAACATCCTTCCTCAGATAAGGAGGCCAAAATTGCACGCAATACTCCAGGCGTAGTCTCACCAAGGCCCAGCATAATGCTGACATTCCTACCCTGAACCTGAATCCTTGGTGTAGAAGGACACCCAGGTTTCGTTGCACCTCCCCTTTTCCCAAACTATCGCTATTCTGCCTGCCTGTTTTTGCTATCAGTGAATAATCTCACATTTAACCACTCAACTTGTTCAAATTACAGTGAGGAATCTCTGTATCCTCCTCACAGTTCACCTTACCACCCAGCTGTGTCACCTACACACTTGGAGATATAACCTCCTCTGAATCATCAATATATATTGTGAATAGTTGGGGTCCAAGTACTGTTCCCTGTGGTATGCCATTAGTCAATGCCTACCACTCAGAAAATGACCTGTTTAATTCTACTCTTTCATTCTGTCTGCCAGCCAGTTCTCTAAGCATGTCAGTACATTGTTTATCAACTCGAGCTAATAAAATGAAACACAATTATAAAGCAAAGAACACTTGCTCACATTCACTTCTACTTTATTTGCTAAAATTGATGAACATCTAGTGGTCAGCCAAAAGTAGAATAGGCAAAACACCAATTCTTCTGGCTCACCAAGCAGTCTGCGGCCCAGGAGACCATAGAACAGACAATGAAAGCGTAAAGAGCACTGTAACCTTCAGAAAGTTGTATCTTTCTTGACGGTCTGCAAAAAAGCACCTCCAAATCAGGCAGAGTACTGTCATCTTCACAGCAACAGTAAGGAATGAAACAAAACTGGACTATCATACTGCAGCTTGTTTTTTCACACTCATGTACACCTTGCATCCCCAACTCCCAAACACAACTACTTACCTACTGATAATGAAAGATAATGAATCATTTTCGGTCAACAGCTCTCTCTCAGTTTCCCAGTCAACATGGTCTCTTGTGAACCTGCAACACCCTTTGGCTCACCCTTGCTGGCTGTGTCTTTAACTGTCTAAGACCTAAATTCTAGAGCGTTCACCCTAAACTTGCAGCATCTCTGTCCTCTAAGATCCTGAAATTCTACTTCTTTCACCAAGTCTCTGGTCACCAGATCCAACACTGTCAAATTTTACTACATTAACAGTGCGATACAAATGAAAGCTGTTGTCTATGAGTTTCAAATGAAACTGACAAACAAAGTATATGTCACCTCAGTCCACAAAACCATGCTGCTTCCATTGCATAAATAACTGAGAAAAGAAACCAGATATCATTATGTCCCCTGGAAACACTTCATCAAGTGGCTGGGGAAGAGTCAGAATGGTACTTGCAGCTTTAGGTTTCCCTGCAGTGAGCGGCCACTGAAGCCGTGATAACTGCAGGCTGTGAATTCACCAAAGATGGGAACCTACAGGGGTGGTAGGTCACTTGGTATAAAACAAGCAGATCAGTTCTGCTCAGATGTTAAAATTTTTAAAAACACAAGCCCTGACCTCAATCTGCTAATTCTACTTCTCATGATGCTGAACATTTCCAGTTTTTCTGCTATTTTTAAAAATCAAATTTCCAGAATCTGTAGTACTTTGCTCCTGTAGAAAGTAAAAAGTGATTCTGTGCTTTTTGAAAGATGATTCAAGATTTAAGTGGGTACAAAGCTGCCAAGAAGATACAGCACTCCAACTAGTAGCCTGGTATCATTGCAAGAACTCCAAACCCTACTGCATGCATACGCGAGACCATATGTAAGTTCACAGAAATACGAACTACAGTTGGTTATCAGCACCAAAATATGCTGCAGAAAAGTTTATTTACAAAGCAAAAAGAATTTATAAAGATAATTTAATTCCACATTTACATTATTTCCACGATGTATGTGCTTTGAGGAGGATGTTCTTCAGGGGGTGTCCACGTCAAAAACAGACTGAAATTCTTTGAACTCAAGGTCACATTTTGAGCCGGAATCAACGCGTTACCTGAGAAAAGCAAAACAATTATAAAAGGAAATAAAGCAATATGAGCACTCATATTACTCAATCATTAGTAAAAAAAAAATTACCTCTAAGCAACAAATGGGTACTTTGAACATGTGGAAGTGTTTATTAGAATGCACTTTTATTTGAGTTAGACATCTTGAAGAGGTTGAGTGACTTATTTAATACTGAAAAACTCTGAAATGAGCCATTTTATGTTGAACACCTGTAACAGAAGTCACTGTTGCTAAAATCCAACAATATTTCAAACGACAATTATTCTTCAGAAGTTCAGTATGTGCAACTGAGGTGGTGTAATGAAACATAGAAAGACTTGTAATGCAAGTTGTATACTAATCCATTTAACTCAAAGAAGTCATCCAGTTTATGAAATGTTTGAAAATGATTAGGCAATAGCAGACAGGCAGCTTTTGAACAAAAGGGCACAATCGCTACCGCACAACATCTGATCAAGTGTGGCAGGAAATAGGACATGTTATTATATAACCGTTATCTGAGCAAAGTAAAAAAAAAAAAAATTACAACACTAAGACCACGCTATTCCAAAATCTATGGGTACAATTATTTAATACCATGAGTTTGATACAGCTCAATAAATACTGCACAAGATTTAAACCCCACAAATGCAAAAGGTTTAATTCAGAGATAAGATTTACCTTTGGGCAAATGATAGCTGCAACGTGCATTATCTCTATATCTACTTTATCAGTCTCCTGTAGCATCTTATATACCTCAATTAGATGTCTTATTCTTCTAAGCTCGAGAGAATATCGACAAACTGCTCAATTTCTCTTCAAACAAACCGCTCACCTCTGGAATCGTTATACTGTTAGTCACCAGTTTACCAAAGCAGGAGACAGTCTGGCCTTTCAAAACTATTTATTAGCATTTGTGATCCAATTCAAATTCAAGATTGCTCTCTCCAGTTCCTGGGGAAAATCAGGCTTGAAAATATACTGCTGCTGGCTTAAAAACCCCGGAACTCTAGCCCTAAGAGCAGCGCATCAAATAGATTGCAGCAGGTTCAAGGCGGCAGTTCACTACCATCTTCTCAAGGGCAATAAATGCTGGCCAGCCAGCGACATCCACGTCCCACAAGAGAATACAACAGTGCCATCTCAAAGGCATTAGCCCAGCCTGCAAAGTCCACATCCCCAAATAGAGGCAAAAAAAGAGCTGAATGACCTACTCCTGTTCCGACATCCCCAACTGCAGAAAAAAATTTGCTTTTCAAGGACGTGCTACTTCATATGGGCAAAGTGCAGAAGCTAGAATTGCTCTATTCAAGAGGAGAAGGTTGGGAGGAGATTTGAGAATGTTCAAAATGATGAGACGTCTGTACAGAGTAGAACGTAAATGTTCCCATTGGTGGAAAAACCAAAGACCAAAGGACACCAATTTGAGGTGACTGATCAAAGAACCAACAGCAACATAAGGAAATATTGTTTTGTGCACCGATTAGCATCTGGACCTGAGAATGTGGTGTTGGCAGATTCAGTCAGAGTTTTCAAAGGGGAATTAGATTAGCACCTCAAGAAAAATAAAATTGCTGTGGGGAAAGGGATAAACTGAGTTCCCATTGTAGGGAGTCAAAAGACTGGACAGGCAATTGTCCTCCTCTTGTGCTGTAACCATTGTATAATCTATATAAACTATTTACTTCAAGCACTCTCCGTGAAAGCATGTTTCATATCCTCATTACTTTCTGGTTAAAGAGTTTCACGTAAATTGCCTATTTTCAAAGTGAATATCTTACATTGATAGCCAAAAGCACTGGAGGAACTGAGCAGGTCTGAAAGCAGCTATGGATGATGCTGCTATTAAGAGTCGTATCAAACCTTCTTAAAACTCTCTCTCCCCCCACAGGTATTGGCACGCCTGCTGAATTTCTCTGACACTTTGTTTTTATGTCAGATTTCCAGTTCGCAATATCTTGCACTAATTACATTAATAGTTCCTAGTTTTACCAATTTTCCCAATTAGTTGGGAATACATTAGAGAGTCACAGAATTTTTAATCAGCATAGAAACAAACCCTTCAGCCCATTGTGTATGTGCCACAAAATCACAAGATACAGGAGCAGAATTAAACCATTCAGCCCATCAAATCTGCTCTGCCATTTGTTTCTTAAAATCATTCATTCTCCTACTTTCTCCCTGTAACCCTTGATCACCTTACAATCAAGAACCCGTCTTAAGGACGCTCAATGACTTGGCCTCCACAGCCCTCTGTGATAATGATTTCCACAGCTTTACCACCCTCTGGGTGACTCAACTCCCTCCTCATCTCAGTTCTAAATGGTTGTCCCTTCACTGAGGCTGCACCCTCTGTTTTAGTCTCTCCTACTAGAGATAGAGCACGGAAAGAGGCCCTTCTGACCAACTTGTCCATGCTGACCAGATTTCCTAAACTGAGCTAATTCCAATTGCCTGCATTTGACTCAAATCCCTCCAAACTTTTCCTATCCAGGTACACGCCCAAATGTCTTTTAAATGCAGTAATTATATCTGTCCCTACCACTTCCTCTGGCAGCTCATTACATAGATGCATCACTCTGAGAAAAAGTTGCCTCTCCGTTCTCTTTTAAACCTATGCCCTCTAGCTTTCAACCTCCCTATCCTGGGTCTTAGGGCTAAAGGGATCAAGCTATGGGGAGAAAGTGGAAATACGGTATTGAGCTGGATGATCAGCCATGATCATATTGAATTCTCCCCGACCTTTGACTCAAGCACAGTGGGCTTGGCTCTGCCACAACCCTAGCTATTCAGCTCTGCCATAGCTTCTCGTCCCTGGCCCTGGCTCCAACAGCACAAGAAGCTCAAGACCTTCCAGGGCCAAGCAACCTGCCTCACTGGCAGCACACGCACCAACACCTCCAGCATTCAATCCCTCTGCCACCAACTGATTGTCTCAATGTGGATTACAGACAAAATATGCCAAAGTAACTCATCAAGAGTCCTTTGACAATCCCTTCCAAACGTATGAACTGTACCACCAGGAAGGACAAGGACAGCCGCTATATGAGAACTATCAGGTGCAAGTTCCCTTCCAAGCCATACACCATCCTAAACTCCAAATTAATCAATTCTTAACTGCCACAGAGTCAAATAGTGATTTCCCTCCCTAACAGCAATGCAAGTGTACCTACACCACAGGGACTGCAGCAGCTCAAAGAGGCAACTCATTGGTCGAGGATGACAATAGAGAATGGGCAACAAATGCTGGCCAGGCAAACTTTGATATTTGGGCTACCTTATCTATTTATAGGAGGAAAGCTTAAAACTATCAACACAAACATGGAAGTTATTATTACCATTTGACTGCAACACTAACATTTGGACAGAATAAAACAACTCCTGAAAATCAAAAGATAGCCATTAAGAAATTTCAAAATCTCTCTTGATAAAACCTATTTCAATCACTGGCTGGGAACATGATGCAGGAATGAGGGCTTCAGATTCCAGGGACATTGGAACAGATCCAGATAAATGGGACCTGTAAAAGCAAAACATTTGTGCCTAAATAAAGGCCAAGGCTGAACTCCCTGTTAAGTAATTTACTAACACTGTTAGGGAGAAAGCACAAACTAACTTGGCAGAGGTCTGGGAACCAGGAGGTAATAGCATAGAGGGAAGTGCACAGAATACTTGGACGGATAGACAACACTTGAGGAGGAAACAGTAAGTTCGTGCATGTAGATAAATAAATGGAGTATGGTAAATAAAATTGCTGTGTTTTAAGATTGCCACGTGCAGATATAATGTTGTGACTCAAAAGAGGACAGAGCGCTGTACTTAATATTCCTGAATTGAAGGCATTCTGGAAAGATAGGAAAGGGTGAGGGGTGATAGTACTGATTAAAAACAACAGTACATGCAGGAAAGACAGGATGCCCTGGGGAATGAAGACAGAATCTGTTTGCCTATACCAAAGTAAGTAACGAAGAGAGTATAGTTACATTACTTGGTATAGTCTACATATCTTTCCCATTCATTGATGGCCTAAAGGGGCAGATTTGCAAGGAAATCATAACGAAGGGCTATAATTACTCAAATATAGGCTGGGTAGTAATGCTGTAAAGATTATAGAGGGGCAAGGGTTCCTACAGCATGTTTTGGAAAATGCTCTACCACAAAACAGTTCCAGTCCAACAAGAAAGGATCATTCCAATTCCAAGAACAACTGTCATGAGGAGAACTGGGAAATTAGGTTAAGGGATGGGTGAGTAGAGATGTGATTGTAGGCAGTTAAGGAGTTATTTTGTTGCATTCAATGAAACAGAAATTCTCTATGAGAAGGATTTATTATTCATGGCTAACTAAAGGAAAGCAAAGACAATATCAATAGAAAGAAAAAGCTCATGGATCAAGTACAGCAGCAACACGAATATGAAATTGACTTAATGACAGAACAGAAAAGTAGTTAATGGATGCTTTTCAAGCAGAAAGAGGTCTGTAGCAGAGTTATGATGCTCATTTGAGACACTTACACTTCCTGATGCAACACAGGATATCTGGAACACAATTTCAAAATTCATAGATTGCGTGCAACTTGGAAGCATTGTGAAATGGAGGATAGTACATTTCAGACAAGTTGGTGGAATGAGCTAAAAAGTGTCAAATAAAATTCAAAACAAATTGTGTGACGTAGTTCATTTTGATAGGAAGAACATGGAGAAATAATACATAAATAAAGGATACAATTTTAAACAGATTGCAGAAGCAGAGGAGCCTCTCTGCATATTTGCATAAATCATTAAAAGGTAGCCAGGCAGGTTGAGATTTATACAGAATGCCAGACTTTTTTTCACTACAAGGTAAAGAATACAAGAACAAGGTGGTTATATTAAACTTGATTCTCTCACTGGTTTGTCCAGTATGACTGCACACAGTCTGAGCACACTTTAGGAAGGGTAGATGATTAGAAAGAGTGCAGAGGTCTTCTTTTCACAAGAAAAATTTCTCATCCCTGCAACCAAACCACGTTGATGGGAGGTGGGTACCCTGACACAGTGGGCCTGTCTCTGGGACAGAAGCTCCAGGTTCAAGTTCCACTCCAGTATTCAATGGCCAAGGAAGGCGTGTATTTAACAAACCAAATGTACTGAGCATCAACTTTTAAATCCTTCTAACATATGTTATTATGCAGTAAGTACAGAAAGTTGCTTACAATAGACAGTTGATGAGCAAAGGCAAACCACCACAATATCTTACCAAGCACAGTCATAGACTGACACAGAAGTCCATGATCACTAATATCCTTTCAGCACAAAGTACAAGAATAGACAGAATGTGGGAGATTAGCCAGGAATGTGCTGGAATATTTAAGTCTTGAAGTAAAGAAGGTAAGAAGCAGGGCTTTGGTATCAAACGAATTGAGATGTGTGAAGCAGGGAGATGTTCCCAAGTAGAAATGAGTGGCCTTAGTGATGGGACAAAGAGGACGTTGGAAGATCATCTCTGCTTCAAAGTGGCACCAGGTTTGTGAAAGGCTGGTTTAATATTGGTTTGTTGCCTGCTTATCTGACACTGAATGTTAGGCAAGCTGATAATTCAGCAACAGTGGGAGAGTCAAAATAGGTGGCAACAGCAAGGGGGACCTAGGCATTGTCACTTATACTCCCATCTTCTGTTGCTGACAAAAAGCATATGGATAAAAAATAGGTGGGGACCAAAGATAGATTCCTGGGTAGAGGGGTGACATTGGAGGTCAACAGCTAAGGGGCAGAAAGAGAAGACATTGTAAGTGATTCTTTCGCACAGCTGAATAAATAAGTATGGAACCAGATGAGAAGCATACAGACTCAGCAAAGCAACAGAAGAGGATTAGTGGAAACATCTTCTCCACATCTACTCTATCCAGACCTCTCAGTATTCTAAGTTTCAAACAGTTCCCCCCAATCATTCTTCAAAAGTCCATTAGTACTAACCCAGAGTTTTCAACTCATGAAAAACAAAGCTGCTGGAAAAGCTCAGCAAGTCAGGCAGCATCTGTGAAGGAAAAAATAGAGTTAACATTTCGGGTCCAGTGACCCTTCCTCAGAGGTGATGGCGGCTGGGAAAATGTCAGTTTATATGCAGAAAAAAAAGGGGAGGGGGTTGGGGTAGGGAGTAAACAATAGGATAGAGCCTAAAAAGAGAGAAGAGCAGTTGGACAAAGAGTTGATAACGATCAGGCTGGGAGAGTGAATAGTTGTTAATGGGGACTATTAGTCACTAATAACAGGTAGTGTATAGTGGCAGGCTATGTGAAAACAAGGCCTGGTGTGTGGGGTAGGGGGCTGGGACATGGGAGAGTTTAGACCCTAAAATTATTGAACTCTATATTGAGTCCGGAGGGCTGCAGGGTCCCCAGACAGAAAATGAAGTGTTGTTCTTCTAGCTTGTGTTGAGCTTCGCTAGAACACTGCAGCAAGCCAGAGACAGAATGTTGGTCAGGGAACACGGTGGTGCATTAAAGTGGCAGGCAACAGGTAGTTAAGGGTCTTTTTCACGAGCAGAACATAGATGTTCTGCAAAGCGGTCACCTAGTCTACGCTTTGTTTCCCCAATGTAGAGGAGACCACATTGTGAGTAGCAAATGCACTGGACTAGATTCTGGGAAGTGCAGGTGAAGTGTTGCTTCACCCGGAAGGTATGTTTGGGTCCTTCAAGATTAAGGAGGGAGGAGGTAAATGGACAGGTGTTGCACCTTCACCAGTTATAGGGGAAGGGGCTGTGGGGGGGGGGGGGGGTGGTGAAGGAAGTGTGGACCAGGGTGTCCCAGAGGGAACGGTCCCTGCAGAAGGCGGACAAGGAAGGGGAGGGGAATGTGTGTCTGGGTTTTGATTTGCTCCTCATATGACAACCCATTCTTATAAGTTTCCTCTGGACTCACTCCAACACCAGCACATCCTTCCTTAGATATGGCACCCAAAAACTGCTCACGATATTCCAAATACAGTCTGACCAGAGCTTTATACAGACTTTTCTGAAGAAGGGTCTAGGCCCGAAACGTCAGCTTTCCTGCTCCTCTGATGCTGCTTGGCCTGCTGTGTTCATCCAGCTCTACACCGTGTTATCTATAGCACATCTCTGCTCTTATATTCTACTTCTCGTGCCTATCGTCATACAACGATCAACAAAATCACAGCAATGTTACAGCGCAGAAAGAGGCTTCAGCCTTCTTAGTTGTAAGGGTATGAATTTATTTTTCAAGAATTCCAGCTTGTTTAGCCTCCCCTCCTGGTTTTGACCTTCCATTCACGGTCTCATTCCCCAATCCCGGTGTCATTTTTATATCTTTCCGCCACCATCCCCAATAGGGAGAATACAAAGAAGGGAAACCGCCGCTCACACAGAGACCCTGAACCCGCGGACAGACAATGAAACCGTCACTGTACCGAGCACATGAATGACGAAGATGTAGGAGACGATGTGAAAATAGCCAGCTCCACTGCACAGTGCCGTCCCCATGGTGCCCAGGAGCGGCCAAGCCCCAACCCTACGACTCCGACGTCGCCATCTTGCTCACACGCCTCCCAGCAGCCTCCAGGCTGAGCCCTGACACCGGCCGGGGCAGCCCCGCCCACTGATGGGGCGTAAACCTAGGCTCCGCCCACCGTCGCCGGGGCAACACAGGCTCCGCCCTCACATCCGGGGGTTTTCGGCGGTGAGACTGGGAGCAGGTGGCTCCAGCGAGAGGTGAGGTTAAGGCTTTGTGAGGAGTGCGGGGCCTAGCGTAGTCAGCCGCTTACAGACTGTGTTTCTTTGTTCTTTCTACGCTTTAGTAAGAAAGACTGTAGTGTTTAACTTCTTGATTTTATTTCTCTGCTTTGTGGTAACATTCGGTGCCGACTTGTGCCTAAGTTGGCGCTGTAAGTTTTCATTGTGGGACTCCCCTCTGTGTTGACTTGTACCACTAAACAAAACATTGAATTTTGGAACGGTTCCTCACACAAAAATGTTACCTTTGCATTGCATACACGGTTCCAGTTGGAGAATTTTGTGTCAACTGGGGCGAGAGGGAGTGTGTGTACGGGAGAGAGAGAGAGAGCGTGTGAGGGAACTTTTCATTGTGCGAGTGGGAATAAAAAGAGGCTAATTCTAAATCATAGCCATGATGTGGAGGTGCTGGTGTTGGACTGGGGTAGACAAAGTCTGAAATCACACGACACCAGGTTATAGTCCAACAGGTTTAGTTGGAAACACCAGCCTTTGGAGCCTTGCTCCTTCTTAAGGTGTTAGTGAGAGAGACAGTGTCAGACACAGAATTTATAAGTAAAAGATCAAAGGGTCACACCACTGATGAGGATGTACTAAACAAACTTGAGAAGCTGTTGAACTTTAATCAGTTAGAAGGTTTTAATTTGTTAATTTGTATATGTAAATCCCAAAATTTCTTTCAAGTTACTGCCCTAAGAGAACTAAAAAATTTATCAGTGTAAAGAAGAGGTGATATTTAGGTCTGACAATGCAAGTTAGGTATGGTGCCTTGTTTAGAATCTGTTTGTCTTTTAGTTTGGAGTCAGACTAGTTTTATTTCTGAAGTAGGGATTTGTAAAACACCTGAAAGTCTTGAACAAAGCCCTCAAATGAACATGATACAAAGCACAACACATTGATCGTCAGTTCTGACATGCAACAGTGAAAAACCGTAATGACTTCCTCAGAAGAGAGAGACTGGATACATTCAGTAGGGTATCCTCCGTTGTCCAGTACTTCCTGGGAACGGAGAAACTGCGCCATGTTCTTCGCAGCCTTCAACACTTTATCGATGACGATGAGCACCTCACCAAGAAATACCCCACACCTCCACTTCTCAGTTTTCAGTTACTAGTGGTGTACCTCAAGGATCTGTTTTGGGGCCACTGCTGTTTGTCATTTTTATAAATGACCTGGATGAGGGCGTAGAAGGATGGGTTAGTAAATTTGCAGATGACACCAAAGTCGGTGGAGTTGTGGATAGTGCAGAAGGATGTTGTAGGTTACAGAGGGACATAGATAAGCTGCAGAGCTGGGCTGAGAGGTGGCAAATGGAGTTTAATGCGGAAAAGTGTGAGGTGATTCACTTTGGAAGGAGTAACAGGAATACAGAGTACTGGGCTAATGGTAAGATTCTTGGTAGTGTGGATGAGCAGAAAGATCTCGGTGTCCATGTGCATAGATCACTGAAAGTTGCCACCCAGGTTGATAACGTTGTTAAGAAGGCGTACAGTATGTTAGGTTTTATTGGTAGAGGGATTGAGTTTCGGAGCCATGAGATCATGTTGCAGCTGTACAAAACTCTGGTGCGGCCGCACTTGGAGTATTGCGTACAGTTCTGCTCACCGCATTATAGGAAGGATATGGAAACATTGGAAAGGGTGCAGAGGAGATTTACCAGGATGTTGCCTGGTATGGAGGGAAGGTCTTATGAGGAAAGGTTGAGGGTTTTGAGGCTGTTTTCGTTAGAGAGAAGAAGGTTAAGAGGTGACTTGATAGAGACATACAAGATCATCAGAGGATTAGATAGGGTGGACAGTGAGAGCCTTTTTCCTCGGATGGTGATGGCTAGCACGAGGGGACATAGCTTTAAATTGAGGGGTGATAGATATAGGACAGATGTCAGAGGTAGGTTCTTTACTCAGAGAGTAGTAAGGGCGTGGAATGCCCTGCCTGCAAAAATAGTAGACTCGCCCACTTTAAGGGCATTTAAATGGTCATTGGATAAACATATGGATGATAATGGAATAGTTTAGGTTAGATGGGCTTCAGATTGGTTTCACAGGTCGGCGCAACATCGAGGGCCGAAGGGCCTGTACTGCGCTGTAATGTTCTATGTTCTATGTTCTATGTTCTAGCTTTCAAACAACTGCCAAATCTTAAACAGACCATTACTCGCAGCAAACTAACCAGCCTTCAGGACATCATCAACCACAACACTATACAACTCTGAGATAGTAAGAACTGCTGATGCTGGAGTCAGAGATAACACAGTGTGGAGCTGGAGGAGCACAGCAGGCCAGGCAGCATCAGAGGAGCAGGAAAGTTGATATTTCAGTTTGGCACCCTTCTTCAGAAGATGATACAAACCTGTCAGGGCAGTCTCTGTAAGACATGCCAGATCATCGACATGGATACTACCATCACGTGTGGGAACACCACCCACCACATGCACGGCAGATACTCATGTGACTCGGCCAACGTAGTCTGTCTGATATGCTGCAGACAAGGATACCCTGAGGCATAGTGTGTTGGCGAGACCATGCAGATGCTATGACAACAGATGAATGGACATCACGCAACAATCACCAAACAAGGATGTTCCCTCCCAGTCAGGGAACACTTCAATGGTCAAGGACATTCAGCCTCTGATCTTCTGGTAAAAGTCCTCCAAGGCAGACTTCAGGATACACAACGCAGAGTTGCCGAGCAGAGGCTATTAGACAAGTTTGGTACCCATGAAGACAGCCTCAACTGGGATCTTGGGTTCACGTCGCACTACAGGTGACCTCACCACACTATATACTCTCACATATACATTGAGAAACATGCATACCTACACAGACTCACTCTCACACACTGTCAAGCACGTGCATGCACTCACTATCTCCTTCACACACACACACTCTCTCTCTCCCTCCCCCTCACGCACGCTTGTACCCCCTCTCGCTCACACGCTCTCTGTCTCTGTCTCTCTCTCTCGTGCATACACACTCCCTCTCACTAGCCCAAGCTGACACAAAATTCTCCAACTGGAAGTGTGTGCAGTGCAAAGGTAACATTTTTATGTGTGAGGAACTGCTCCAAAACTCAATTTCTTGTTGGTGATACAAGTCAACACAGAGGGGATTCTCATTTAAGACAATGTTGAGAAGGTTTTTTTATGGATAGTGAATCTGTGGAATTCTCTACTGCAGAGGCCCTTTGAGGCTGATTTAAGTATATTCAGGGCTGAGATAGACAGACTTTAATTAGAAAAAGAATCCAGGGTTGTGGGGACAAGCCAGGGAAGTAAAGTTGAGGATTATAGATCACCCACGATCTTATTAATTGTCCCACTTCTGCTCCTAAACTAATGATCTGATAAGAGTCCACTATACAGTTTGTTAATTTTATAAAATAATATGGAGTTTCCGGCTGAGATTTTATTGAGTTATAGAGCTGAACAGCACAGAAACAGACCCTTCATCCAACTCATCTGCGCTGACCAGATGTCCTAAACTGATCTAGTCCCATACTCTTGCATTTGGCCCATATCCCTCTAAACCCTTCCTATTTGTGTACCCATCCATATCCCTTTCAAATGTTGTAATTGTAAGTGCTCCACCACTTCCACTGGCAGTTCATTCTATACATGCACCACCCTCTGGGTAGAAAAGTTGCCTCTCAGGTCCCTTTTAAGTCTTTCCCCTTGAATCTTAAATTTATGCCCTCTTGTTTTGACTCCCCTATCCTGGGAAAAAAAATCTTGGCTGTTCACCTTATCTATGCCCCTCATGATTTTATAAACCTTTATAATGTCATATGAAGTCTAACAGAAAGAAACTTGTTATTGACCTGTATAACCAGTAATCTACAATTAGTCGTCAGATTGTTCATTAATTTAAGAAGCATCAGTTCCCACAAAGGGCTGAGAAAGCAGGTTGTTTCCATTTAGAAAAGGATAGCCTTTAATAAGGGTGCCAGAGCAGATGTGTAGATGTTGCACCATGTTATCTTAGATTTGATGGACGAGCTGCTCTTGTTCAGTTGATCAAGTTGACTTCTGTTAGCCAGTTGTTTGAATCATACATAACAGGATTCTAATAACAATTTTACATGCTCCTAAGAATGTTCGATAATGCTGCAACTCAATTTTCCCAAACTTTCTATTTTTAATTTTTTGACAGTTTTCTACTCTGCTACAAAATAATAATGTATATGCCATTTCATTAGAGCACAATTAAATGCATATTACTGTAATGAAGTATTTTTTGACCACTGTCTACTGGAAGATCTCGTTTTTAAAAAAAACACACACTCTAAGTACTGATGTTAAAACAAAGCTGCAAAAAAGTACCATGAAAATCCCTTAAAGGTTCAAATTGGAAAACTACATGGGATCAAAGGAATAGAGCTCTATCTTTCACTACAAAGGTCAAAATTCATAATGAAATACATTTGCCAGTAACTATGCAACAACAGTAATAAATGTTTTATAATTGCCACATCAACTAAAGGAAGGTAGAAGGCCAACAGTATTTTGTCTTTCTCTGATGAAAATGAACTTTTTTAAATTCATGCAAGGGATGTGGGTCTCACTGACAAGGAGAGCATTTATTGCTCATCCCTAATTGCTCAGAGGTAGTTAAGAGTCAACTGCATTGATTTGTTTTGATTTATTATAGTCAGATGTGCCTAAGTGCAGTGAAAAGTTTTGTTTTATGAGCAGTACAGGCAGATCATAGCGACAGAGCAAGGCATACAAGATTACGGCTGCACAGGAGGTGCACAAAGCAAGATCAACATTAGTAAGATCAACATTATTTAAAATTAGTGGAGGCCCATGCAGCAGTCTAATAAAAGCTGGGCAGAAACTGTTCTTGAACCTGTTGGTGCGATATGTTCAAGCCTCAGGGTCTTCTGCCTGATAGAAGAGATCATTGCTGTGGATCTGGAGTCACATATAGGCCAGACCTGCTAAGGATGGCATTTTCCTTCCTCAAAGGGCATTAGTGAGTCAGGTGGTTTTTTTCTGACCCCTGACAAACAGTTTCATAGGTATCATTAAACTCTTAATTCCAGATTTGTACTAAATTCTAAATCTACCATCTACCATCCACCATGACAGGATTCACACAGGATCCCAGAACATTACCTGCATCTCTGGATTAATATTCTAGTGATAATATCTCTAAGGCCATCAATTTCCCAGTTTCAGTGCTGCAGTGAGTTTATTAATAACCATATGTGGAATTTCCAAATGAAAAATACAATAGGTCACTTTCACCAAAAGAAAGATGCAGTTCATAAGGACAATGATAAATCAACAAATGAACATATCCTCTTCTGTGAGGGATGGTCTTAAGACATTACTACTACATTTCTACTTAACTTGCTCATTTGGCTGGTCAACTGGTTTGCAATGCAGAGTGATGCTAACAGCATTGATTCAAATCTTGACTTCACTCCTTACCCAAGGTGTGGTGACCCTTGGGTTAAACGCACCACCAGTTGTCTCATTAAAGAGACAGAGCAGCCCTCTGAGACGAAGGTGACACACTATCATGTTTTAAAATACTTGTGTTTATTCCAAAATGGCTATGTTGTTAAGCAGTAAGAATTAAAATGGAAAAAAAAACATTAATGTCAGAGCGTGAAGCCAGAGGTAATTGTTAATTCCACAAATATTTATTTAATTAAAAAACCCATCAATATTTTATTTCTAATACATCTTATGTGTTTGTTCCATTGCTACAAATATTTCAACAACGGTACACAAACTATTCAACACATCTGCATCTGGACATTGTTGAACAGTCCCATTATTTTATCAAAAATCAAAGAAAAAGCTGTAGCAGGAGGAGCATACATCAAGTGAAATCGATTCACTTTCAGTAAAAGTTTACTTTGTGTGTATGCCAACATTTTCAGAATACATATACAAAATTAAGACAATGAAATAAAACCTGTGATTACATTAGAAATGTAATCCCAGAAAATTAACAAATCAAACATTCTGTTGTCTTCATGTGTGTTCATTCAAGAACAACATAGGTTGGATCTGTAGCAATTCCGCAGTTGTTGTGTCTCATCGATATCAGAAAATATCCATCATCGCCCCAGATTGGTGACCAAGAATTTTTAATGAGCCAGTATGGTTCACCAGCAAGTGTTCCATAACCAACAGCAAGGACAGCATGATCCAGATCTATCCGTGAATTTCCTGAAATGGTAACATCATAATGCAGAGCCATATTGAGCAACAATGATTAATCTTAAACACAAAGTTTGCACACTGTCTACTACTTTAGACCCTCTCCTACAAAGAATTTTACTCAGAACTCAAAAGGAGATTGCTCATAATTAACTGTTTAAGAATCCTCAACCCTTCGGAGGAAGACACTCACTGATAAATTTGAAACTATTGCTGAAAGCCAAACCAGGGGCTACTTTAGAAACAAAATCTGCTGTATTGGTTCAACATTTTTCTCACAAAAGAAACTTCCAATTCATGTAGTGGTACCTTGTTCTCCTGGTCTCATACCGAGAAATACTGCATCCCAAATAACTTGACAATTCTCTGGAATAACCCAGCCTCAGCATCCCAGCCAAAATGGCAGCGATAAGCAACATTTCAAATCAAGGTACAAGGCTTTCAGCACAAGATTATACTAGGGTTGAACAAGATAGCACAGTATGCATCCCAAAACAGTGACTTGGTGACATCAAGGCAGAGAGGAAAAACTGATGAATTTGAGTGAGCAATAGCTGGAGAATTTGTTGGGTTTCTTTTAAGTGCAAATAGTTGTTTGGTAGTACAGAAATTGACCTTTGCTTTAAAAAATACATCTTGTCGAAGCTTTGTGTCTTGCACCGATTAAGACAACTTGGATGTTAAGATATTATATTCCCTTTACGTTGGTATTCTTGTGAAATAATCCTGACAAGTGCAAGACGAAAAGCTTTGACAAAATAAGTCTTCTTTCAGCAATACCTCAAGTTTTCCGAGTACTTCTGCATTTGCCTGGAGTTTTTCAGCAATATATACCTACTGGGAATACCAATAAAGTTGATGATGCAACTGGTTGCAGGAACTGGATTAGCTTAAAGAAATGGACGGCATTATATGTAGAAAAGTAGAGGTCTCCCACATCCAAGCTATAATCTTAGGGGTGAGCTCACTTTGGCTTGATTGTTTGCTTAGTTTTTATTCTTCAGCAGACAGTCATATATTATCAAGCAAGATATCTACCACTTGTAAAGAGTGCGTATAGAGCTATGAGCCAAGTCTGAAGTGGTGGCCACTGAGAGGCCTGGGAGAAACAGCAATCAGTCACGCTCTGAAACACAGGAAAGTCTGGGATCTTGCTTGGACTATGCAGGCAGCACCCAGCTGAGGTGCATGAATTGGAGGGCAAGGAGAAGGTGGATACAGGGAGCTTAAACTGAGGGGTAATCTCTGATTAGCATTCAAGAAAGGACTCCCCCTGCTCCTTTTCACTGGTCAGCAGATTCACAGGGAAAAGAACCTGCTGCACAGCATTAGGTACAGTTTTCACCCACTGGCTGTTAAATTGTAGCAGCAGTAAAGATAATTGCTCACTTCAGGCCTCATTTGGACATGAGCAGGCAACCTACCTGATACCTTCCCTGTTGCTTGTAGCATGATGGTGGGGTGGGCAGGCAGGGAGTGGGCACACCAATTTCACAGCACCCTATTTCTATGTTCAACCCACCACCCAGGGGTTCCCTTTAATCATGGCCCAATAAAAGGCTGAGGAATTCAGACATTCCAGAGTTTCACATTTTGGGAGTAACAGCAGGAGACAGTGTGATGTGCCTGAAGAAACATGTTATTTGTATAAGAAACGCTCATCAGAAAAGTTATTTTTAATGAGGCGGAGCAGTGATTATCATACGGTCTACTGTCTATCTTTTATCTGGTTATGACTGAACTCCCTTTGAAAGGTTTTCCTTCATTAAATGTTATATAAAATGTAAATTATTTCCATTTTCCAAGAAATCTACATCGATAAAATAAAACAAATACTACAGATGCTGAAGATCTGCAAAAACAAAAGAAATTGCTGGAAAAACTCAGCAGGTCTGGCAGTATCTGTAGAGAGAAAGCAGAGTTAACGTTTTGAGTCCAGTGACCCTTCTTCAGAACAGAGTTCTAGAAGGGTCACTGGACTCAATATGACCTCTAAACCAGTACTGACTTTAGCAGTTGATAATGTCTGGTTGACACTTGTCTTAATTTAGACAATCCAATAAAAATCTATTTATCACTACAAACCACCAATCAGACCTTGGGATAATTTAACTTGCCCTATCCACGCAGTAAACAAAGTTTTCCTTAAACATAAATATTGAAGTTTGGAAGTCAATTTTAATATTTTTAAAAATAACTTCTTAAAAGTCATTGCTGAATTTAAAGAGCAATCTGAATTTCTGCCTTCCAGCTGCAAGTTCATTTTGCAATAATTTGTGAGGAAGAGAGTGAGCACAGCCTGGTGAGATTTCACAATTCTTACACCCTGAAATGGATCACACTTGATACCTCACTGAAACCAACAGCAAAGTCTGTAGGAAGCTGGATTCAGTCGTTAAAACTAGTCAATAAAAAAAATTCGCAATATAGGTTCATGATAGTACCAATACCTCCTAATTGTCACTTGGAAATGAAGAACTTGAATACTGCTAAAAAGAAAGACATGGTGCCAAAGATTTTCATTTTGCATTTATCAGGACATATGCAAATGTGCTAAGATACATAAGGTTGGTTGTGTGCTGAACTCATAATTTTTCTCTCTATCAGCCCCATATGGGTCAATTTTAACATTGTCGCACAGTCTGATCACTCAACATTCCTGCCTACCTCTGAAAACCTTTCATCCCCTTACTCATTGAGAGTCTGTTTACCTTAGCTTGAAAAATATTCAAAGACTCTACATCCATCTGCTCTGAGGATGAGAGTTCCGAAGACTCTCAACCCTCTGTGGTAAAAATAATTCTCCTTCTGTCTTAAATGGGAGATCCACTACTTTGAAACAGTGACACTAGATTCTCCCATAAAAGGAAACATCCTTTTCACATCTACCCTGTAAAGATATGATTAAATTTAGTAGACACAGACTGTCAATATGTTGTGAGTGTTCTCTTGTGCGTAAACAATTGTATTAAGTTTAGCTGGACATGAAGAACAATTTATTGAGAAGTTATAAGTTCTATTGTATCCTCTCTTTTGAAATCTTGAATATTTGACTCTATTACCTAGGAAAGTTTCTTCTACTTTCATTAACTTGTACATGAAAGTAAATTAACCTTTTTTTCCTCTCTTTCTCTCTGTGCTCCATCCTACCTATCCTCTCATTCTTTCTCCTCAACACTTTGTAGTCAAGATAAATACCACATTTTCCTGGATGCTATCAGTTCTGAAGAAGGGACATTAAACTCAAAATGTTAACTCTGTTTTCCGTCCACAGATTCTGCCAGATTTGCTGAGTTTCTCTAGTAACTTCTGTTTTGTTTCAGATTTGCAGCATCTGGAGATCTTTGTTTCATATTATTATGAAAGTAGACTACCTTCCTTAGCTTGTACAACATGGAAGTTAAAATACTTACTACACTTTGGCTCATAATAAACTCCATGGCTGTAAAATCTAAAGGACTTGTGTGAAGCATCCATCCCAACAGCTACTGGTCCATTTTTAAAGATGGCCATTTTTAATGCTTCTGTTCTTCCTGAAGTGACATTAACATAGCTCTTCACCTTGGTTGCAAAGACAGATTGGTTATAGTGGCAGTATCCATTCTGTAGGGAGTGAAAACAGGAATTTTAAAATAGATCGTGAAGTGAAAATATAAAAACAATTTCAAACACATTTCTGGATGCAGCAATCAGCATCTGAAGACAAGCTGGTTGTTCCATTACACAACATTTTTTCACAAGCATTGTAAAAAGTGAAGGTTTTCATTTCTTGAAGGGTCATTCATTCTGTTGAAAATCAGAAGCATTATCTCAACGAATATATTTGTGAAATAGAAATGAAAACAAAATGCTGGAAGAGTTTCATCAAGTGAGAAGAATGAGAGAAATGGAGTTAATGTTTCAGAACAACAACATAGAAGTCAGATCTGAAGTTTCTGTTTTTATTTCAGATTTCCAGAATTTGGAGTATTTTGTTTCCATTAAAATCTATGCTGGTTGATACTTCACAAAGGATCAATTCCTCCTAGTGATCTGAGCAATCTGCTTGTGAAAAATTCTTCATTGGATACAACTTTTAGCAATTATTCATGGTCATGACCTTTGTGTAATAAGGTAGAAAATGAAGTTAACTGATAGAAAATTGGTTCTGAAGTGACAAATCCAAGTGTAGATGCCAAAAAAAAAATTGTAGAACAGAGTAGGGAGAAAAGACAAAGACAGTCTTCTAAATTCACCTCAAAAAATGTTATTTAAACAGTTGGTTGTTAAATTACCAACTGAGTTTTCTCAAAGATATCAATTAGAATTGCAGATCACTAGGTTCACCTGCAGTACTCAGCCTTTGAGGAATTGAACTTTGTCACAAATCTGCAGTCAGCCAAAGATATTTTGAATTTTAACCAAGTTGGATGATTATTTACCATCCCTAAGGAGCAATTCAGCAATCTGCCAAAGAGATAATGGAAACTGCATGACCAAATTTTGCAATTCATTAACTACTCCCTGGAGAGCCCAACTACCTTTCAATTGGCAGGTATTCCACTTCCAGGATCTTGGGGTTCACCATTGACTGGACTTTAACAACATCCTGGCAATAGTACTGAAGACGTGTTCCAGAACTCGCCACTCCCCTAGTCAAGCTGTTCAATGTGGAAAGTTGCCCAAGTATGTCCTGTACATAAAAAGCAGGATAAATCCAACCCGGCCAATTACCGCCCCATCAGTCTACTCTCATTGATCATCAGTAATGTTATGGAAGGTGTTATCAACTGTGCTATCAAGCAGTAACTGCTCAGCAATAACCTGCTCAGTGATGCCCAGTTTGGGTTCTGCCAGGGCCACTCAGTTCCTGACCTCATTACAGTCTTGGTTGAAACACAGACAAAAAAGAGCTGAATACCAGAGGTGGGGTTAGAGCGACAGCCCTTAACCTGAAGGCTGCATTCGACAGAGTGTGGCATCAAGGAGCCCTAGCAAAACTGGAATCAATGGGTATCGGGGGCAAACTCTCTGGTGGTGAGAGTCATACCTGACATGTAGGAAGATGGTTGTGGTTGTGCGATGTCAATCATCTCAGCTCCAGGATATCTCTGCAGGAGTTCCTCAGGGTAGTGTCCTAGGCCCACCCATCTTCAGCTGCTTCATCAATGACCTTCGTCCACCATAAGGTCAAAAGTGGAGATGTTTGCCAATGATCGCACAATGTTCAACACCATTCACGACTCCTCAGACACTGAAACAGTCCGTATCCATACGCAACAAGATCTGGACAATATCCAGGCTTGGGCTGACAAGTCGCAAATTGCATTTGCGCCACACAAATGCCAGGCTATGACCATCACCAATAACAGACAATCCAATCACCACCCCTTGACATTCAATAGTGTCACCATCACTGAATCGTCCACTAACAACATCCTGCGAGCGATCATTGATCAGAAGCGCAACTGGACCCACCACAAAAACGCAGTGGCTACAAGTGCAGGTCAGAGGGCTAGAAATATTGCAGCGCGTAACTCACTTCCTGACTCCTGAAAGTCTGTCCACCATCTACAAGGCACAAGGCACAAGTCAGGATTGATGTAATACTGCCTAGATGATTGCAGCCCCAACAACACTCAAGAAGCTTGACACCATCCAAGACAAAGCAGCCCGCTTGATTGGCACTGCATCCTCTCCCTCCACCACCGACGCTCAATAGCAGCAGTGTGTACTATCTACAAGATGCACAGCAGAAATTCAACAAAGATCTTCAGACAGCACCTTCCAAATCCACGACCACTTCCATGTAGAAGGACAAGGAAGGCAGATATATAGGAACACTACCACCTCCAAATTCCCCTCCAGGCCACTCATCATTCTGACTTGGGAATATATTCCCGTTCCTTCACTGTCACGGAGTCCAAATTATGAAATTCCCTCCCTAATGGCTTTGTGGGTCAAACCACAGCAGGTGGACTGCAGCGGTTCAAGAAGGCAGCTCACCATCACCTTCTCAAGGGCAAGTAGGGATGGGCAAGAAATGCTGGCCAGCCAGTGACGCCCACATCCCACAAAATGAATGTGGGCAACCATATCAAGAGTGGCCATAAAAGCAGGGCAGAAGCTGGGAAGGAGCAGCTACGCTCGGTTCGCGACAAACGACAACACCTCCCAGTCACAAACCACTTCAACTCCCCCTCCCACTCCCTGGATGACATGTTCATCCTGGGTCTCCTCCAGTGTCACAACGATGCCACCCAGAAACTGGAGGAACACCACCTCATATTCCGCCTTGGAACCCTACAACCCAATGGTCTCAATGTGGACTTTACGAGCTTCAAGATCTCCCCACCCCCGACCTCACCCCAGGACCAGCACCCCCCTCATCCCTGCCTCCGTGACTTGTCCATCTTCTCTCCCACCAATCCGCTCCTCCCTCCTCACTGACCAACCTCCATCCCAACTCCCTACCTACACTCACCTCTACTAGTTTCATCCCCGCCTCCTTGACCTGTCCGTTGTCTCTCCACCTATCTGCTCCTCTATCCACCTTCTATCACTGCCTCCCCCTCCCTCTCTATTTATTTCAGAGCCCCCTTCCCTCCCCCATTTCTGAAGAAGGGTCCAGACCCGAAACGTCAGCTTTCCTGCTCCTTCGATGTTGCCTGGCCTGCTGTGTTCATCCAGCTCCACACCTAGTTATCGCAGAAGCTGGGAATCTGTAATGATTTTGACTTTGCAGTTTTGAAGAAGAGACATACTAGACTTGAAATGTTAATTCTGTTTCTCTCTCTGCAGATGCTGCCAGACCTGCTGAGTTTCTCCAACATTCTGTGCTTTTTTCAGATTTCCAGCATATGAAGTAATTTGCCATTTCACCTGTAATGATCGTCACCTCCTGATCTCTCAAAGCTTTTGTGTCAAGTTAGGAATTTTGATGGAAGTTACAACAAGCAGTTTTCCCAAGCAAACCCATGTACTTGACAGACATTGCATTCAACACCAATGCATAGTGGTTTCTGTACCTACAAACTACAGAATGCACTACAGTAGTTCACCGAGGTTATCCTGATAGTGCTTCTCTTCATTGTAATGTTTATCTCCTTCAGATCAAAGGCCAATCTGACCTGGATACATATGCAGCTGCAACTCCATCATAGCTGGGTCGATAACCTTAAATTCCCAACTGATGAAATCAAGGTACCATCTTCATTGTAAAGACTACAGTGGTTTAAGAAAGCCTACCATCACTTGCTCAAAGCATCAAGGATAGCACCTCCTAGGAACATTTTGAATATACTCATTTCCGACTAAGAGAAATGGTCCTCGTTGAGTGTATTTTGCACAGGAGATGCATGTCTAGGGGTGCCTTGCCCACCACCTCCACCCTAACCCCCACATTATGGAAGGTTAGTAGGCACCAAAATTAGCAATTCACACATCAAACGTGACTAACTAAAGATCAACTGAGCTTCTTAGAAGTTCAATCGGCTCCAATAACACATTGTGCCCACCATAAAGTTGCTGGCTTGGGCAGCTGAGTGACAGTGGGATTCACAACTATTTTTTAAGGTGTTTAAAAAAAAGAGTTGGGGAATTGTGGGAAGGCACCACTTGCCCATTAGGAAACCATTCCTGAGAAGATGGCAACTGATTTCCTTCCCACCGGAACATTATTTAAAGAATACTCTCCATGCCTTGTCCACCTTCTTAAGTTGGCAGAATCCCCCAGTACCTAGCCAAGACTTACCTGTGTAGTAGCCAGGAGGCTGCTAAAACAGATAGATTGCTAACTTAGCCAAACAGCAAGGGATGCTGGGTACATTGGCCAAGTAAAACTCTGAAATCACAAAATCCACACAGCAGACAAAGTGGAAACACAGCAGCCAGGTGATAGTGTAAAGGCAACAGTCATCCTGGGCAGACATACCCCCAAAAACTTACCCACTAAACAGAGGGCCCAGACAGAAAGGCACTGGGTTTTGCTACACAAAGAAACGGACAGCAGCATGCCATCCAAGTAACTGACTATTTAAAACTATTAAGTGTATCTCCCCGATTGGCCGGTACTACAGAAAGTTCCAGAAAACTATCTAAAAAGTGGAAAAACAGGCTTCACCTGCAGACCTCTCTCCTGGAATCTTCTGAGGAGATCAACATGGCAACAGGCAGAGAACAGCTGACTATCCAGAGAGAGAGAGAGAGAGAATGCAGCTTTGCAGAGCCAGAGAAAGTGTGACTGTGTAAATCTACAAGAGACTTGAGAAGTATTGTAACCTTAAGGGATCAAATAGGATTAGCGATAGTATGTTTAGTCTTAAAGGTTATTGTAACTTTGTTCCTAATAAAGTTGGGACTGTTTTGCATTGGTACTGGCTTGTGTTCATGTTGATTTGACCGGTTCGGTATTATGGGACACCTGGGCAAATTCACTCGTAACATTTTGGTTGGAGTTGTCTAACTTATTTAAGGAAGCACTAGACAACACCTAGGTCTGGGATCTTTGAAGCTGGAGCTGATGGCCAATCGGATTGGGGTCCGCAGCTCCCAAGAGGTGGAACTTTTTCCCAGTAAGAGGCAGAGACCCTTAGGTGTTCATTTAGCCCTCCCACAACACTTTACTGTCACAGAGCAGGCTTTTAACCGACTAGTCAGCTGACCATTGACTTTTCTCCCACCCCACTCCCTGCTCAATAATACTGCTTAGAAAGTAAACTATAATATTATTCTCAGTGTTCAATACTGGAACAAATACTTAGCCTTTAAAAAAGGCAGCAAAATACTTCAATAAAGGCTCACAGACATGATGAGTTAATTAAGTATTACATAATTATTAAATTCAATTACACCTTCCTTAATGTTTAGAATTTCACAGTAAATCGAGTAAGCAGTGTTTCTTCAAAGATTCTTCTTTTCCAATTTTAATGTGTAAAATATTTACACCGAGGTGCTCATGCACAGTGAAAACAGAGTACATAAAATTGGACAGCTGAGTTTCCACCTTGCTGCTTATAAAGTGAGATCAGTTAGATGTACAGACCTAGCAAAAATCTGAATTTCCAGATACAAAGTTTCAGATCTGGATTTTCAAGGGGTCCAAGTTGTTTCAGTGCACGAGAAAGCAGGAACTGCAGATGCTGGAGAATCTGAGATAACAAAGTGTAGAGCTGGATGAACACAGCAGGCCAAGCAGCATCAGAGGAGCAGGAAGGCTGACGTTTCGGGCCTAGACCCTTCAGAAAATTTCTGAAGAAGGGTCTAGGCCCGAA